GGTCACCGCTGGCCGACGGTGCCACTCTTCCCTGGTTTCGCCCTGCGTGGCCTCACCCTTGCTCAGTCTCCCACTCTCTCCCGTCTCCTTCCGGTTTCTCCCCTTAAGGACCCGAACCTTTCTCCCACGTCACATAACTCCACCTCTCCGTGACGTCACATCCGGAAGGTTGCTTACGCCCGCATTACAGTAGTAACTACTAACTCTATAGCAGTAACTACTGACTTTTCGGTAGTATCTGCAGACACTATTGCAGTATCTACTGACTCTATAGTCGTATCTACCGACTCTACGGTACTATCTACCGACTCTATAGTAGTAACTATCGACTATAGTAGTATACGCTTACTATAGTAGTAACTACTAACTCTACAGTCTTGGGTACCCCTATGGGTTCTCCCTTATCACCAGTGGTAGCGAATGTTTTCATGTATAAATTTGAAACAGATGCCATCCTGACATCCACCCTATGTCCTTCCCTGTGGAAGGGATACGTAGATGACACTTTCGTCATCTGGCCACATGGCCAGCCAGCACTGAACCAATTTTTCAACCACATCAATTCCATACACCCATCCATAAAAAAATCACCATGAATGTGGAAAATGATGGCAAGCTACCTTTCCTGGATGTTTTGATCGAGAAGAGGCCTGATGGCTCGTTGGGACATTCCCTGTACAGGAAAGCCACCCACACGGATTCCTATCTAAGGCCTGATTCCCACCACCATCCAGCCCAGAAGAACCCCCTCATCAAAACACTACACTAAAGGACCCGCTACATCTCCGACCAGTGCCACCTAGCCAGTGAATTGGAGCACGTACACCAAGCCATCAAGATTAATGGATACTCAGACCGCACAATCCGCAAAGCTGTATCCACAACCATGGGGAGACAACCATCTGAGGACCCAATCAAAACCATCACCTTGCCATACATAGCAGGTGTTACCAAAAATATTTCCAAAATCTTAAACAAACACAAAATCCAGGTCTAATTCAATACAGTACACAAAATCCGTGATTTGGTCCCATCTGTGAAGGATGTCATTCCTGACATGCAATACCCTGGTGTCTACAAACTAAGCTGTATTTGTTGCAGTCGTTACATTGGGGAAACGAAACGACATGTCTCGGACCGTGTTCGCGAATACAAGGCAGATTCGAAACACGCAGAACCAATACCTCTGCCGTGGGTGATCATTGTTATAACGCAGTGGGCTCGCACGATATTGTTTTTTCCGAGGCCAAGGTACTCTGCAAACCTTCTAGCTACCATCAAAGATTTTTCCATGAAACCATCCAGATATATAAACACAGACAATTTAAACCGAGAAGATGGGTATAAGCTTAGCAATCATTGGAAGGACGTTATTAACCAATCAAAGTTGTAACTTGCTGTGGTGGTTGCATCTTTCCTGCCGTTTGGCTGTTATCTCCGACTCTCTGAGTTGCATTGCCCTGTTGGGTGTCTCTACATTAACGGGCTGGGGTCGCACTAACATGGAACCATATCGATGGTTCTGGCTGTGTGATGGGCTGTGTGTCTCACTGGCGCGACCACCGTTGCGGTGGTTCTCTTGCGTTGACGCGCTTGCCTCTTTCAGCGCAGTTGGCAGCGCCGCAGCTTGTGTTACACATAGACATTACATTAACTTACTAATCCCCCTAATCTCCCTACCTAATCTCTCCCATCAACATAGTGCTTATCTCCCATTAACACTGCTGTTGTTATGCGCATATGTGGGGACGATACTCTTATGCGGCGACGGAAGCTCATTTCATGCTAATCTCTCTCCCTAATCTCTCTCTCCCTAATCTCCCTCATTAACACAACTGACGTGCTTGCGTCCGGGGATGGAATTCCTTCCAGCTCAGACCCCGCTTGCTTTCCCATCGCCAACATATGTAACCTCTTGTTGTAACAGCTCTCGCTGTGTTCTTCCTGGTTCAGCAGTTCCACTGCTGGATTATTTTTTCCGCCTGAGGACGATCACTTGTGTTGCGATCGAAACGTCGTGATATCTTTTTTTTTACTACGTGACTTTACCGAAAGAACCAAAGAGTATAACTCTACAGTAGTATCTGCTGACTATAGTAGTAACTACTAACTCTACAGTCGTATCTACTGACCCTGCAGCAGTATATACTGACTATAGTGGAATCTACTGACTGTTGTATTTACTGACTCTATAGTAGTATCTACCGACTCTACGTTAGTATCTACCGACCATAGTAGTATCTACCGACTCTATAATAGTAACTACTGACTCTGCAGTAGTATCTAATGACTATAATAGTACCTACTGAATCTATAGTAGTATCTATTGACTCTATAGTAGTATCCACTGACTATAGTAGTAACAACTAACTCTATAGCAGTAACTACTGACTATAGTCGTATTTACCGACTCTGCAGCAGTATATGCTGACTGTAGTGGTATCTACTGACTGTAGCATTATCTACTGACTAGGAGTATCTGCCGACTCGACGGTAGTATCTACCGACTCTATAGTAGCATCTACCGACTCTATAGTAGCATCTACCGACTCTATAGTCGTACCTACTGACGATAGTAGTATCCACTGACTATTGTAGTAACTACTAACTCTACAGTAGTATATACTGACTCGATAGTAGTATCTACTGACTAGTATTTAATGACTGTAGTAGTATCTACTGACAGCAGTATTTACTGACCATTGTGGTATCTACTGACTGTAGTCGTATCTACTGACTATAGTAGTATCTGTCGACTTTATAGTAGTAAATACTGACTCTACAGTCGTATCTAATGACTATAGTAGTATCTGTCTTGATTTGAAGCTTTCGTGACTGCAGGAATCCATACTCTTTGGTTCTTTCGGTAAAGTCACGTAGGTAGAAAAATAAAACAAAATAAAAATACTATGTAGACGTTTCGATCACATAATCCAGCAGTGGAACTGCTGAACTTGGTTCAGCAGTTCCACTGCTGGATTATTTTTTCTGCCTGAGGACGACCGCTTGTGTTGCGATCGAAACGTCGTGATATATTATTTTTATTTTGTTTTATTTTTCTACCTACGTGACTTTACCGAAAGAACCAAAGAGTATAGTAGTAGGTACTGAATCTATAGTATCTATTCACTCTATAGTAGTATCCACTGACTACAGTAGTAACTACAAACTCTATAATATCTACTGACTCTATAGTTGTATCTACCGACTCTGTAGCAGTATACTGACTACAGCCCCACGCACCCTTGATCTACATAGAACCTAAGGGGCACGCTCGCACAATTTTTTTTTTCTCATTTATCGAGCAATAATGGACAGGAACCAACCAGTGAGGTCGTAACACACTGAACCCTTCAATCTAAAATCCCTCGCAACCTCAACCATGGGATATTCATGGAGCTCAGTCACCCAACTCAAGAGCAAAACACCATTCACAATGGTCGAAATAATCGACGATGTCGTGCAATGCAGATCGGACCCCCCCGATGGATAAAGTGAACCCCGGGGCCAAGTGTGAGGTGTGCCGCGACTCGCCTTAGAGAGCAGGGAGTCGTTGGAAGGCGGACGTCCTGGGGGCCGCCGTCGAGGAACCCGGCAGCCCAATTGGACGTGCCCTGGTAGGCCGCAGTTGTAGAAGGTGACCCATCCACTGCTGGACTGGGACGAAGCAGACCTCGCTCGCCGCCGGTTGTCCCGCCGCCGATCGCCGTCACCCCGACGATCGCCGCTCGGCTGATGCAGCGAGCACGCGGGAGCAGGCTCCTCGTCCGCGTGGGCTCCGGAAGACGCAGAGCACGCCACCAACACCCTGTCACGTTGCAGGGTCTGCTGCGCCTGTATACACCTGGCGATCTTGAGCGAAGACACCTCTCCGTCCTCAGTGGGGAGCACAGTAAGGAGGTCTTTGGCGAGTCCCAACATCTTCTCGAGGACCAAGGCGTCAAGGCCGCCGTGGTCCATTTTCGGGAACGCGGCCTTCGCCAGCGACAAGAGCGCACTTCGGGAGGCGAGAGCCGACTCACCATCCCCTTTCCGCTTCACGACGAACTTCTGACGGGTGTTCAGCGGAGGCTCGAAAACAGCGGCCATCTGATCAAACGCCTGCATGAGGGTTGACCTCTCAGACAGCGGAATGGCAAGGAACGCCGCCAAGGCATCATCGTCGAGGATGGCAGGCAGCGCTTTCAGCGTGTCCGCCTCCGACCATCCCGCCAAGTCGGCATTGGTGAGAAATCGCCGCTTAAGCGCCACCCAGTCGCCGCTGGCGGAAACAAATTCTTTAATGAAGGGCAGTCGACGGCGGAGCGACTGGATGTCAATCAACGAGCATGTCCCCGCTTCAAGCTTGGCGGTCTAAGCGCTCCCCACCGGCGGCAAAATGGCGCCCGCGAGTGCAGGCAGCGGCGATGGCGTTCCCGCCTTCTGTGAAATGGCTTCCCTGTTTTGTTGAACCGTAACACATTTTATAACAGTGACCATATCTGCATTTAGATATGGTACATTATGGTGTTCCGACTTATGACCCGTTCGACTTTCAAATGAGGGAACGCAACCCGTTCATACGCGTTTTGCAATATTACGCTATAAGCGCACAACTTTTCACATAAAGGGAGATTTTACTATTTGCAAGGTAGCCTTGTAACTGTGTAAATTGCAGAATAAAGTGAGCACAGATCATGGACAATTCCTACAGTTCAGCTGGACAGTGTCACCCATTTGTTTTCGAGTGGATAGACCCGAGATGAAATGCTAAAGCAGTCTGTGCTTCCTTTTGTGCAAGTGTGCTGGTGCGAATGGAGGTGGTACCGATTGGGCATGTAACATCGCAAATAAGTATATTAGATTTTTTTCTTAAAAATTCTGTATTGTTCATGTTATTTTGAAAATAACCATAAATTGTAAATCATCAATTCGTACATGGACAGTTTAATATGCGAGTCATGAGTCTGAATTCTTCGCATGTCTAACAACGACGGTATTTGCGACGGTGTCGCCATCAGAAGTGACGCGAACGACCTCGCCTCGCTGCGTCTCTCCGACATGCTGCTGCCAGTCGAGCTGGAGGCTGGCAGGTTTCACGGTAGCTGTCATAGGCCCCCGGCATCGCCACCACTACCGCCCCATGCTTCCTGCCGCCTCACGGCACTGCAGGGAGAGCCCAGTGCGGGCAACTGTGGCCAAACCACGGGCGACACCTCCCTGGGCCTCCTGCCTCTTGATCTCGTGGACGGTGAGAGAGCATTTGCCCACGGGAAAGAGGGGAGGGAGGGCGTGCAGCTGCCGATGCGAGATGATTGGTGACTCCGTGGCCGCTCGCTAAATTGTGTTGAGCATTTTATTTTGCTTGCTTGTATTGTGTTGAAGGGAAAACAAAAGGAAAATTAGATTTGGGTTTTATTTAATCAGCCACAGGTGTTAGCCACAGTAGGCCCTTAGGTTTTATTCCACCATCATGTATCATTCTATTTTTAAAATCTCCATTTATCTTGGATTACTGGATGACCACTTGTCAATCCACTGCTGAATCAACGCTTCCCCACGCCATGTTAGGCATGGGGGTTTTTGACCTTACCTCACCGTGCTGGTCATTGCGCCTATGTGAAAGAGGTGGGTCTCGTGACTGTTTCAGATATCACTCACAGCTGTGGTCTTAAATCAAACTCGGGTCACTAGCTTCATAGCTCAGTGTGCTTACCACCACAAATGCTCCACTCCCACCAGCCAATTAAACTTTTTCGTTTTAAAATCAAACTTTTTGTGGCGTCCTTAGTGACAAGGCTGGGACCATCGACTCTCCACACCTGAGAGATTTGCTTAATTATTGGTAATTGAAACTATGATTTAATGTCAAGATATCAGTGATGCCGGGGTTTCCGCACCATCCTTGCATGGCCATTGCGAGCTTTCTGAGACCCCCAGCCAGCCACCCGGGCATCTTATTTCTTGCCGTACTTCCTGGTCACTCACCTGGAATATTCGATACCCTTATCAGTCTGTATTGGGCTGCAAAGCTTTCCCAAACTGAGTGACTTGGACTGATTATGACCATATTTCAGTACAGTAATAACCCAATTTATGTTTCCCCCTTCTACGTATTTTTGCAAATATATCATCACTTTATTATTAACACCACGGTCCGATTTGCGTCGCCTCAAGCCACATTTATATCGCTGATAGCATTGTCCGCCCTCTCTCGTATCCATCGCCTCTCAGCCTTCACCACCTACCATATAAATCGCTATGATTTACATCTTCTTTGGGTCTTTCGGTAAAGTCACATAGATAGGTTCAAAGAAAATAACAAAAAACTATGACGTTTCGATCGCAACACATCCTGATGACAACCGCTGATAACGTCGTAGTTTTTTGTTATTTTCTTTGAACCTATGTACCTGACTTTACCGAAAGACCCAAAGAATATGAATTACTGCAGTCACGAAAGCTTTAAGTCATGATTTACATCGTTTCCATATTTGTCGCCGCACCTTTCAGGAACACATCCCCAACGTAAACCAGGGTATTTCTGTGTGAAGGAATCTTTAACTCTAAAGCTGGGCATGGAAGCACAATTTTGAATGCAGTGTCCTTGAGACAAGGGCTGGTGGATCATGTGGATTTGTGGATCTCCCGGCCTACTGCACTACAAGTGGCCAAGAGATGGCAGTATAGAAAGTGGATTTGTGTCATGTTTGTGCCAACCTTAGTGTTATCCCCCTCCCAAGTATGCCACTTTTCTCAAGGACACAGACATTGAAAAGGAATTTGACAAACGTTTCCTGTTGAACCCTATTGAGACTTTCTTGTATGAGAAATGCACATTGATGTTGTTATTTATTCTGCCAGACCTCTCATGTGGGCTCATGACGCTGACCGACAGAATGGTTCCTGGGACAGAGCTACGTGCACAGGTAAAACCTCACTGATGCTTTGATTAACATCTCTGGAATAATATATTTTTTAAGAGGGACCTTTACACCAGGGCATCAGAGAGCTGGTATACAAGCAATAAAAAGAGAGATTCATCCACAAACTGAAGCTTGTGTTTGAGACAGGAACCCAGCCAGATGTTTTTACGTATATACGTTTTTCTCTTCTTAGACCGACATCCAGAGGCTGCTCGCATCTCCATCCAGCGCCCCCGATGACAGCCTCTGCAGCTTTGAGCAGAACGAGCTGCAGCAGCATGGGGATGGAGATGGCAATGGCGATGACCCAGAACTCGAGGAACTCAAGGAATACGAGTTTTCCAAAGATGACATCCGTAGCCTCCTGCAGCAGCAGGAGCAACAGCAGCTGGAGGGGCGGCTGCAGGGGCAAGGGCTGGCGACAGCAGGGTCCCTCCGAGAGCCGCCCTGGCTTGGGGCTGTGGGTCCTGTGAAGGGGGGCGGCTACAAGCTGACACCTGCGTTAGGGGCGACGCTATTCCAGGTACTGAGCAATCGACAAAAGGGGGTTTCACTCTCAAAAGGGGAAAACTATAGTAATGAGTTCAATAACAATGGCACTGTGACAGCTTACAATAATGTTAACAATTACAACATGACATACCTCATGGTATTAATAAATCCATCTTCTAATACATTTCCTTGTTTTGGTTAAGCTCGCACCGGTATTTTAATAGTGTGGCAGTCTCATGTACCAGAAGTAAAACTTGCAGGGTTTAACTTGTGAGTTCTAAACTATAAAACGAAACTAAAGTTACAAACATACCCAGAAAGAGCTGCAGTTGTCACAAATACGATGTGGCAAGCTGGGTGCACTTTAAAGAGAGTCTTGAAGAATACGAAGTGGGATACTTACAACAAAGCGAAACAAACATCCGTTTGGTTTTTTAAATTAATACAGAATTGGGTTGCATTCACATTTGCTCTTTGGATTACAAGAGGCTCTGGGAATAGACGAATACTTTCTCGGGGCCTCTCTGATTTATTCTTAAATTTCCCCTTGCGGCTGCGTGGATCGTGAGTAGGAGGAGGTTGTACGATGCTCGTGAAGGTGAGTGTGCGCGTGTGGGCTTGTGCGTGTGCGCACCTGTGTGTGTGTGTACACGCATGTGTTCATGTGTGCAGTGCCTCACGTGCATCCTTGCTGTGTGCCTCCACCTGCCGCACCTCAACCTAATCAGCGCTTGGCCTGTATGCTTGTGGCTTGTTTGCGTGTGGTCTGTGTGGGTGTGGCCTATGTGCGTATGTGGCCTGTATGCGTGTGTGGTCTGTATGCATGTGTCGCCTGTGTGCGTGTGTGTGGCCTCTGTGTGTGTGTGGCCTGTGTGTGTGTGGCCTGTGTGCGTGTGTGTGGCCTGTGTGTGTGTGGCCTGTGTGTGTGGCCTGTGTGCTCGTCGCCCGTGTGCTTGTGACCTGTCTGCGCCTGTGGCCTGTCTGCGTGTGGCCTGTGTGCTCGTTGCCTGTGTGCTCATGGCCTGTATGCTCGAGGCCTGTGTGCGTATGTGGCCTGTGTGCGAGTATCTTGTGTGTGTGTTTGCGTGGCTTGTGTGTGTGGCTTGTGTGCTCATGGCCTGTGTGTGTAGCCTGTATGCTCGTGGCCTGTGTGCGTGTGTGTTCTGTGTGCACGTGGCCTGTGTGCGAATGGCATGTGTGTGTGGCCTGTCTGCGCGTGTGGCCTGTCTGCATGTGTGGCCTGTGTGCGTGTGCTCGTGGGCTGTGTGCTTTTGACTTGCGTGTCAATTTGAACTGATCGACAGTCATTCTCATTTTTTCAACATTCGCTCGTTTCATTGCAACCTTTCGCATATACAATAGAAAAACAACTTTATCTCTCATGTCGGCTTGTTAACAGAAGAGGAAACCCTATTTTCAGAAAAATTATTTCGGCTGACATGACATAGGAGGATGAAGTGGTCACCCACAAGGACAAACATCTTCGCTATGACCCTATGGACTGTATTGGCTGTTAGTGAGTACAGTGAAACCTTGGATTGCGAGCATAATTAGTTCCGGAAACGTGCTCGTAATCCAAAGCATTCGTATATCAAAGCGAATTTCCCCATAAGAAATAATGGAAACTCAGATGATTCGTTCCACAACCCAAAAATATTCGTATAAAAATTATTAATACAAAATACTGTACCTTTTTATATTTTTATTTAAATTTCATATAAAGTAATCAAATGTATTAATTAAATTTAATCGTGGCTGGTGTAAGGGAGACGAGAGAGGAGAGGACCGAGAGGAGGGTTATTGTGTAGGCCAACTTTCACTGTCAGTAACGGAATTACTGCCATCTGTTGGCTCACTGGAATCTTTTTCTTTTTGTGCGACTTTAACAAGGAACCTATCCAATGACACTTGCTTTTGGCCTCCTTTTAAGGAGGCAAAAAGCATTGTTGCAGTACAGTTAATAAAGAACAGTCACTACACTTGGACACAAAATTTAAAAATGCTTTACGCACACACACGTGGTCACAACACTATACAGTACTGTAGTAAACAGTATACGCTCACACGGATGTTGACTACGAGTGAGGCACGCCGACTGAGACCGAGCATGGGAGATGATTACCCACAATCCCGCAGCGAGAGAGAGAAGAACCATTGGCTCAGTTGTGATCACATGACGCTTGGCAGACAAAGCGTATACGTACTGCTCGTATTGCAAGACATCGCTCGTTTATCAAATTGTTATTTTAAAAATTTGCTCGTCTTGCAAAACACTAGCAGACCAAGTTACTCACAATCCAAGGTTTCACTGTACCTGTTTATCAATCCATGTACATTTGTTACACTGTATGTCCTGTTTCGCCGCTTATCCAGCGAGTTTGCAAGGGAGATCCATAGTACATCAGCATAAACCAAGAACAACAGTATCAATAATGTGATCTGTGCAGAGGAACAAGCAACAACGTAACATAATGCATCAGCTTTACAGACCTCAATGTAACATATCGCATCAAAATAGGCAACAACGTAGCATAACACATCAGAGTTACAGGCAACAATCTAACATAGCGCATCAGAGAATAGGCACCAACGTAACATCACGCATCAGAGTTACAGGCAACGATAGTGCTTAAACAGGCGTATAGCACCATAAGGACGATATAATGAATAAACTAGATTCACAGCTTTCGTGACTGCAGGAATTACTCTTTGGTTCTTTCTTTTGTTTGTCTTGGTGTGTATCTTTGTGTGTGTGTCTCTCTGCATGTGTGTCTGCCTATGTTGTTGCCGTGTCTGTGTTTTATCTTGGTGTGTGTCTCGCTCGGTGTGTCTGTGTGTCTCTCTGCATGTGTGTCTGCCTGTGTTGTTTCCATGTCTGTGTTTTATCATTCATTCTCACCTGATGATGGTTGCTTGTGTTGCAATCGAAACGTCGTATTCTATTTTTATTTGATTTTATTTTCTACGTGACTTTACCGAAAGAACCAAAGAGAGATAATGAATGTTCGGAGAGGAAGATGTGCGTTAGAAGCAAGCACAATCAAGTGAATAAAGAACCACACCCTGTTCAGGCTGTTAACACAATGCGCTCACCAAGCTGTCTATTGAGAGAATTTCACACTGTACCAGGTACTCCTTAAAGGCGGAGTCAACCCGAGGGGGCAGGTTTGGGGGGGTTGAAATACCATGTGTCACTAATGACTTTCATAGCAGGAATAATATCGTTGTGATAGTAGCACAATGCCCAACGAAATACGCGTGCAGCAGTTGCTATTTTCTTGGTTCTTTCGGTAAAGTCACGTAGAAGGGAAGTAATAAAAATAAAACAATTCTCACGACGTTTCGGCTACAACGCAAGCAGCCGTCTTCAGGTGAAGAATGAGACAATGCCAAGCTAGGAGCTTATATATAAGCTGCGTTGGAGGTGGAGGAAAGAGCGCCTTAACAAAAGAATGTGCATGTGAAGAGGAATTTAGCATATTCATGGAAAATGCGTAGGAGGTGGGCGGGGGGGTTTCAAAGTCATATTATGCCCATGCATTATGCAGGATCAACAGCACCAAGGGGGGGGTGCAGGGATTAGCAGTAACAAAGGAAAGGAATGTTAATGATATGTAGCTGCAGTTACTCAACCACCACGTAGAAAACTAAAGTATAAACTACATAAAAAACTAAAGTATAAATAGCATAGCACCATCAGTATACTTACTATACTCTACACTAAGCTGAGTTACTAACAGCAAGTAATACATTACAATTCTACGTCGTAAAAATTATATAATATGCTTCCATCTAAACTTTATTCTATTGCATCAACGAGCATATACCGTACTATATACTGCCAACATTAAATTATATACTGTATTGCTGTAAACCAACCTATATCTTATACATTTAATATAACACTATGTATTATTCTACCCACCCTAATGTGTGTCGAAATGGTTTATCACGTCCTTCCAATGATTGCTAAGCCAGAATCCATCTTCTCGGTTAAAATTGTCTCTGTGTTTGTATATGTGGATCGCCTCATGAACGAATCTCTCATGATAGCCAGATGGCTTGCAGAGAACCTCGTGCGAGGTTAAAAACACCTTGAGATACCGTGTGTTTTAACAGATTTGGGAGATTGTCATATGTAACATCTGCGCTTTCTGCTGTGCCAACTCGCTGTGTTGTAACTGACCACCACTCTGCTCATTGTGGTTAGCGTTGTTGCTCTGCCTCCAGCTTGCATACATACACTCTACAAAGTTATACGTCGGCATTGTGGCTAAGAATGCATCTGTGCCTTGTGTTTTTGTTGTTGTCTGTGTGCGTGCCTGGTGTAGGATGCATTTGAGATGCCACGCAGGCGAGTGGCTGGTGCGGGCAGGGACTGTGCTCACACCAGCGATGACGAATATGACAAGGACGATAACGATCACGAGTTTGATGACGTGGTCGTCGGCGGCAGGGACTTTCCTGTGCGTCGTATGGACACCAACGGTGCTATCTTGGCAAGTGATGGCACCTCCATTATAATACAACGTGATACTGCTCATGATGATGGTGGTGTTGCTCACGTCGATACTACCAATGATGATGGTGCTACTTACGATAATTGTGCTGCTTACGATAATGGTGCCTTTGGTGATTGTCGTGCTGATGATGAATGATGATGATGGATGATGATTGATTGATTTATCAATTGATGATTATTGATGATGCTATCGTCCCCATCCAGGTGTGCAACCGGCCAGGTCTGGAGGGAGGCAGCTCAGATGAGGCGGAGCGTGACGGCCGCCCGAGGGCTTGTGGCAGCACCGGACTAATGGAGGTGGCCGCCATGGAGCCCCGCAGCTCTGCTGAGGGCTGGCACCGTGCTGCCTCACCTGATGCAGGTAGACTCCTTCCACTGTAAGGTTTCGCACTGGTCCGCGCAGCCCAACATCACCAGACATTTTTTTACACATTTACCAATTTACCTCCATTTAAATACAAATTAAAGAGATATAAATTGCACATGCCTAATGGTTGCGACAGACGTTCAGGGTGATTCTAAACACTGCTGAATCGAATTGAGAGATGTGTGTGTAAGTGTGTGTCCCAGTAGCCCTTCATAGGTGCTCTCTAACAGCACTTGCCCCAACAGTCTGTTAATGCTATACGGGGGGATCTTTGTCCCAGTTGGGAGCAGAAGTGCAAAGGTTAGTGTGCTGCGGTATGTACCCGGGTTCGATTCTCGCTCACAGCCAACACCAGTGACGAATATCTGAAACGGTCTTGGGCCTCTCCTAGGTCGACTCGGCCGGTATGTAAACATCACCACTGGGGATACAAAGGCGTTCGGGCATGGTGCTGGCCACACACCCCCTCGTGTACCGTTCCAGTCTTCATAGGTGCTCACTACCAGCACTTGTCCCAACAGTTTGTGAAGGTGATATAGAGCTCTGATTGAGGGACACTATCTGTCACTTGGATGTGTAGTTTCGCATTGACTTGATTTGTATTGAACGGAGAAGACTGGTGTATACATGGAAAGGCAGACCTTTGGTGGGTCGCGATGGCCAGAGTATAAGAAGCCCTGCTCCAGAGGACATAAACACTGTTTCACCAGTCATGGCCATCCGCGAACATTGCTCTACAACTCAAAGCCAAGTTGAAGTGTTTCCCTTGATTAAATGAGCATTGGGTTGGCACTGACAGATCTGAGCCAGTGGTGTCGATTTCCCCTCAGTAAGAAGGAGGTCGTATTAAGGGAAAACTGACCCCTGTATTCGGAATGCGACATTTCCATTGCTGGCCAAGCGATCATTGCTGCCTCGCACTTATTTAATTTTAACCCATTGTGGTATTAACCCTCTCTGCTAACGGCCGGGCTGTACGCCTTTTGTTGTTCAGGGAGCGGAGAGAGTGGCGAGGCACGAGGGAGAGAACATGGTGATGGTAACGGAGGTTGGTGCGTTGATGCCTCTCCGCCGGAACCCTGTCTGCTGACGCGCAGCGTGGCTGGGGAAGAAGTGAGGACGCAGGCCACACCCTGGGGCTCACTTCACTTGCAGGTGATGGCCGGGGCTGGCCCAGCGCGTGCAGTGGCAAAGGAGACACCTGGGGTAGAGACAGAGGTGGTTTTCCACCACCTGAAACTAAATGAACAATGCGAACACCAACACTAAAAAGATAACAAAATATTATTGGTGGGACCTTATACAGTGCCAAGAAAAAATTGTGAACCCCTTAGGATTTTCACATTTTACATATTTCAAACCTAAAAAATTATTAGATCTTAATCTAAGTCCTAATAATAGATTAAGATAACCTGATTAAACGATTGACACAAAAACATGATACTCTTTAAACATTTATTCATCCTCAAATGATTCTACATTCAATAACCACATGTGAAAAAGTATGTGAACCTTTAGATTCAGTAACTGGTGATACACCCTTGAGCAGCAATGACTGGAACTATGCATTTCTTTTAACCGTTGGTCAGTCTCTCACATCGGGTTTGCAGAATTTTGGCCCATTCCTCCTTACAGAACGCCTTAAACTCTGTGTGTAATGACAGGGTGACACCTGCCGACCTGTAGGGGTAATTACGGTTATAGCTGCATTACATAATGTCTTATTATGAAGGGACGTATCTGGGGTAAAGATCAAGGGCAGAGTCAGTCGAGAAGCTCCGGGAACCAACCCGAAGGTTCTGGAAAGGGGGCGTGGTCAGAGGTGGAGCTTGGCCACGCTAGGCAGATATAAGGTGCACCGAACCTCTGGTTTGGGGCTGTTAGTGTGGGTCTGGGTTCTGGTTGCGTCACTGCTGTCGTCATCTCTTTGTCTTCGACCACGTGGCTATTCTTCTGCAATACCAGCTCCGTCGCCACCGCTACGCTCGTCAACCAGCCAGCGTAGAGCAGGAACGGAAATGGGCTGCGTGTTTGGACAGCCTAGGTGTAGCCGCGTTACGAAGTGTATCGCCCTGTGTCCTCTTAATAAATAAGAAGCCTTCTACTAGACGTGTGTCGGAAGTCGCTCACTCCACATGGACAGCTCGCTTCAGGTCCTGCCACAACATTTCAATGGGGTTTAGGTCCGGATTTTTACTAGGCCATTGTAAAACATGGAATTTCTTCTGCAGCCATTCTTTTGTAGATCTGCTTTTGTGTTCAGGATAATTTTCGTGCTGCAAGACCCACTTTCGGTTCAGCTTCAGCTCACGGACAGATGGCCTGACATTCTCCTCTAGAACCTTCTGATATAATGCAAAATTCATGGTTGTGTCAATGATGGCAAGTCGTTCAGGTCTTGAGGCATCATAGCATCTCCAAACCGTCAAATCCCACCACCATGCTTGACGGTTTGGATGAGGTTCTTCTGTTCGAAAGCAGCGTTTGGTTTTTGCCAAACATAATGTTACTCATTGAGGCCAAAACGTTCTACCTTTAAATCGTATATCCAGAGGATATTATTCCAGAAGTCTTGTGGATCATCCGTGTGCTTTTTGGCGAACTTCACACGGGCAGCAATTTTTCTTTTTGGAGAGCAGTGCTTTCTCCTTGCTTATCCTGCCATGAATGCCATTTTTTTTCAGTCTTTTTCTGATAGTTGAGTCATGAACACTCATATTAGCCAAGGCGAGAGTAGCTTGCAAATCCTTGAATGTTTCTCTGGGGTTCTTTGTGACTTCACGGATGATTTTCCAGTTTGTTCTTGGAGAGATTTTGGTAGGACGACCTCTCCTAGGTCAAATGACTGTGGTCTTGAACTTTCTTCATTTGTAGACTATCCGTTTGACAGTGGATTGGTAGAGCCCCAAATCCTTAGAAATTAGTTTTAACCCATTTGGAACTGAGTAGAGGTTTAAGAATAGGTTTTCCCCTTTTTTCTGGCAACAAAACAGGTGTTAAGATGTTAAAACACCAAACTGAAACCTTTTACAAGGAATCATGTCTGCATTAACCACAATACTTGTGGTCAGAATGCAAACAAAAACATACTCTGATAATATATGCATTGTCTTTGAAACTGATTGGTCCACACCAGAGACCGCTTTATTTCGAGCCTAGTCTCAAACGGTGTTAGACCAGAGGACGTCAAAAGGGGAAAATCTATTCTCATATTTTAGTACTGGCAAAGGAGGTCCCAAAAGCAGGGGTTTACTTACTTTTTCAATACCCTGAACCTTAATTACTCATTGTTTGTTTAATTCATACATAATTTAGTTTCAAAAGACATGGAATTGTTTGATATAAACCCTTTTCGATATTTAAGAAAAGACTGGGTTTGATTCAAGAAGGCTGTCATGGTAAAACTATGGAATTTCCATAATTATCATTGGGGTTCACAAACGTTTTCTCGGCACTGTAGGTGTGGCCCAGGGTTAGGGGTTAAGGTTACAGGGGGAGATACTATTTGTTTTTTTCGGTAAAGTCACGTAGGTAAAAAAGAAAATAAATTAATTAAATCACGACGTTTCGGAGGCAACACAAGCTTTCGTCTTCAGGTGGAACCGTCACAGCAAGATTACTGTATCAAGTGAAGAGCTCTAAGAGACACGAGATTATATACAGGTTAAGGGGGGGGGGAGCAGCCAGGATGGGCCGTGGGGGGGGGGGCTAAGTTAAGCCGCATTTTGTTATGCTGCAGGGGATTAGGAGGAAGGATGAGCGGATGGGCAGAGAGAAGTGTGCCGTGGTTGAAAAAATAACACACATGAACACGGTTGAAAAACGGAGGCAGTATTTAAGCTGACAAACTGGCTGCCTTGCAGTATACTGCAGTAAACCATAAGGCTGCTAAAGTATAATTTGGTTTAACTTGGTTAAAAAAGGGCTCATCAAGCTGGGAATAGAAAACAACTGGAAGAAATGGAAATGGCTGTAAAATTATAAGGCAGCTAAAGTTTGACTTGGTTGATGACATATTTCCAATGATTGCTTAATTTAAAACCATCCTCTCGGTTGAAGTTGTGTCTATGTTTGTATATCTGGATGGCTTCATGGACAAATCTTTGGTAATATCCGGGAGGTTTGCAGAGTACTTTGGAATCGGAGAAAACAATATCATGAGAACCCGCTGTGTTGAAACAATGATCAGCTACGGCCGAAGAATTAGTTCTACCGTGTTTCAAATCTGATTTGTGCTCGTGAATTCGGTCAGAAATATGTCGTTTCGTCTCCCCGATATAGCAGTCACCACAGGTACAACTCAATTTGGAAACACCTGGGTACTGCAAGTCAGGAATGACATCTTTTACGGATGGGATCAGATCACGAATTTTGTGTACTGTATTAAATCGGACCTGGATCTTGTGTTTGTTTAGAATTTTGGAAATCTTTTTGGTAACGCCTGCTATGTATGGCAACGTGATGGTTTTGATCTGAGTTTCAGGTGGTTGTTTCTGTATGGTGGGAGACACAGCTTGGCGGATAGTACGGTCAGAGTATCCATTCATCTTGAGGACCAGATGTACATGTTTTAATTCACTGGCCAGGTGGTGTTGGTCAGAGATGCAATGAGCCCTCTGGTATAGTGTTTTTATGAGGGAATTCTTTTGAGTCGGGTGGTGGTGAGAATCAAGCTTCAAGTAGGAATCTGTGTGGGTGGCTATTCTTTGGTTTTTTCGGTAAAGTCACGTAGGTAAAAATTTGAAATCAATATTAATAAAAGTAAAATAAAAATATAAATCACGACGTTTCGGAGGCAACACAAGCTTCCGTCTTCAGGTGGAACCGTCACAGCCACGACAGCTGTATCAACATGGCCTCCCAGCATTGAACCACTTCTTGGACCACATCAATTCTAGACACCCATCCATCAGATTCACCATGGAAGTGGAGAAAGATGGTAAACTACCATTCTAGGATATTCTGTTTGAGAGGAGACCTGACGGATCCTTGGGACATTCTGTCTACAGGAAAGCCACCCACACAGATTCCTACTTGAAACCGGATTCCCACCACCACCCATCTCAAAAGAATTCTCTCATCAAAACGCTATACCACAGAGCCCATGGCATTTCTGACCAACACCACCTGGCCGGTGAATTAAGACATGTACATCGGGGCCCTCAGGATGAACGGATACTCTGACCGCACCATCCGCCAAGCTGTTTCTCCCACCATACAGAAACAGCCACATGAAACTCCAACCAAAACTATCACGTTACCATGCATAGCAGGCGTGACCAAAAAGATCTCCAAAATTCTAAACAAACATAAGATCCAAGTTGTATTCAGTACAGTGCATAAAATCCGTGATCTGATTCCATCTGTGAAGGATGTCGTTCCTGACTTACAATACCCTGGAGTCTATAAACTGAGTTGCAGTTGTGGTGATTGCTACATTGGAGAAACGAAACATCATGTTTCTGATCGTGTCCTCGAGCACAAGTCAGATCTGAAACACGGCAGAACTGATTCTTCGGCCGTTGCCGATCATTGCTACAACTCTGTGGGCTCTCATGAAATTGTCTTTTCCGAGACCAAGGTGCTCTGCAAACCTCCTGGCTACCATCAAAGGTTTGTACACGAAGCCATACAAATATACAAACACAGACATAATTTCAACCGTGATGATGGTTACAAACTGAGTAATCATTGGAAAGATCTGATTAACCATGCAAAAAAGATTTAACTACACTTATTTGGGCCATCTTATTTGACAGACAACTATTACAGGTTACTGATAGACAGCCAGTTTTGTTTTACCAGGTTTAGTTTTTTCTTGTTTCACACTTTTGTTATGTAGGCTAGGCGTTAGTCACAAACCGCACCTCTCCATAACAAAGGCTCAGTCTTTTGTTATGCAGTCCATTCTTAGTCTTAAGCCTCAACTTACCATATTAATAAAAAGTGTGCCTTTCCGGGCCCTTCCCCCCTCAACCATTATATATATGGAGTGATAGCTCTTGTAATCTCTCATTTACTTGATACAGCTGTCGTGGCTGTGACGGTTCCACCTGAAGACGGAAGCTTGTGTTGCCTCCTAAACGTGGTGATTTTTATTTTATTTTACTTTTATTAATTTAAATTTTTTACCTACATGACTTTACCGAAAAAACCTAAGAATATGAATCCTTGCAGTCACGAAAGCTTCAAATCTGGAATGTGTGGGTGGCCTTCCTGTAAACAGAATGTCCCAAGGAGCCATCAAGCCTTTTCTCAAACAGAGAGTTTGTACTCGTCGATGGTTGCCTACCTTGTTGGTTAGGGTTAGGATCGGTGAGAGGTTTGCGACTGGTGGGTGGTCGGATAGGGTTAGGATTATTTGGACAGCTAGTACTACACCCAAGCAACACTCGCATCTATAATAAAAAATAATTTGTGTTTACTCAACATGGTCCCCTGATGGAGGGTTTAACTTAGACAAGGCTTACACCTAGACACATACCAGTTAATGATATCATTGCCCGAGTAGATGTGGCTCTCAAGGGCCTGGGTCACATCGCTGCAGACGTAGCAAGATCTGAAATCTCTGCAACCCTCAAACGGTAAGATGCCAGCTAGCAACATTAGCAAAGATAAGCGTTTTGAATTATCTCAATTAAAAAAGAGGGATGACATTGTCATCCTCTCAGCCAACAAAGGCAATGCCACTGTCATGGACAAAATTGAATACAACAACAAAATTCAAGAAATACTCAACGATGGCAGCTATACAAAAATAAAAAGAGACCCCACCAACAGCCTCGCCATTAAAACCAACAAAACAATTTCTGATTCAACCGCATTAATTGATCAAACCAAACAGTTCTCGTTGAAACCTTCTGCAGCCAGGCCACCAAGATTATATGGTTTGCCAAAGATACATAAAGAAGATACACCTCTTCGTCCCATTGTCTCTACTATCAACTCCCCCACCTACAAACTGGCTCGTTTTTTGTCTGAAATCTTGCGGCCTTTCACTGGAAAAACCACCTCTGTGGTACTAAACTCTACTGACCTGGTATTGACAATCAAGGGAATTTCCCTGTCCCCAGACGACCTGCCTGTCAGTTTTGATGTGGTTTCCTTATTCACCAAAGTTTCTGTACCTGACACCATCGCAATCATTGAAGACTTGGTTCATCAAGGATTGAATACTGGGGTACCCCCCCTGGTGAGACACTGCTTAACCAATACATACTTCACCTGGAATGGAACTTTCTACAAACAAACTGAGGGCACCCCAATGGGCTCCCCCCTATCTCCGGTTGTAGCCAACGTTTTCATGGAGAAATTTCAGACTGACGCCATCCAGATTGCCACTCTACGCCCGACCTTATGGAAGAGGTACGTAGATGCCATTTTTGTCATCTGGCCACATGGCCGGCCTGCTCTAGACCAATTCTTTGACCACATCAATTCCATACACCCAGCCATCAGATTCACCATGGAAGTCGAAAAAGATGGCAAGCTACCCTTTTTGGATGTCCTAATTCAAAGGAGACCTGATGGTTCAATGAGCCCCTCTGTCTACAGGAAAGCCACCCATATGGATGCTTACCTAAAACCGGATTCCCACCACCATCCATCCCAGAAGAATTCCCTCATCAAGACTCTATACCATAGAGCCCAATGCATCTCCGACCAAGAACACATTGCCAGTGAACTCAAACACGTATGCCATGCTCTTAAGGCTAATGGTTACTCCGACTACACAATCCGCAAAGCCATCACTCCAACCATCAAGAAGGATCCTGTTGAGGAGCCTTTCAAAACCATCACCTTACCCTACATTGCTGGGGTCACAAAAAAGATCTCCAAAATCCTGATTAAACACAAGATCCAGGTCCGATTCAACACAGTGCATAAAATCCGTGATCTGGTCCTGTCTGTAAAAGATGTGGTTCCAGACATACAGTACCCTGGCGTCTACAAACTAAGTTGCCTCTGTGGTAGCAGTTACATTGGAGAAACCAAACGACATGTCTCGGACCGCATCCGTGAACATAAAGCAGACTTGAAACACGGTAGGACAAACACCTCAGCTGTGGCAGATCACTGTTACAATTCAGTGGGCTCACATTACATTGACTTCTCCAAGACAGAGGTTCTCTGCAAGCCATCTGGCTACCATGAGAGATTCGTTCATGAGGCGATCCACATATACAAACACAGAGACAATTCCAACCGAGAAGATGGATTCTGGTTCGGCAATCATTGGAAGGACGTAATAAACCATTTCGGATCTGAACTGATTGTGTTCACGTTTACGGTGACTTTCAGACCGCAGTCTACTCACTGGCATTGACTATATATCTTGTATTCTCCGCAGGGAATGTATTCTTTGCTCCGCTGCAAGTCTTCGCCACCACTCTCCCATTGACATATTTCGTTGCTTCCTCTTAGTATCTTTCACGCGACGGTCAATGGTATAGTGTATAGCAGATTGTATAATAAATAGTATAAAATTATAATGTTTAATACAATGTATAAGGTAATATATAGTATCATAATTGTATAGTGAATATACAGCAGTGTGATATACAGTAGGGTGGGTAGAATAATACATAGTGTAATATTATAATGTATAGTCGAAGGTATAGGGTGGTGTATAGTAATACAGTATATAATTTAATGTTGAGTTTGTTTATGGCAGTATATAGTACGGGGTAGACCCGTGTGATGTAAGAGAAAAAAAGTTTAGCTGGAAGCATATTATATTTTTTGCGACATAGAATTGTAATGTATTACTTACTGTTAGTAGCTCAGCTTATTGGAGAGTATATTTAGTATACTAATGATACTATGTAGTTGATACTTTAGTTTTTTACGTGGTGGTTTAGTTACTGCAGCTACATACTATTAACATTCCTTCCCTTTATTAATGCTACCCCTGTCCCCTCCCTTTGATGCTGCTAATCCTGCATACTGCATAATGCACGGGCATAATGACTTTGAAAACCCCCCACCCACCTCCTACGCATTTCACAAGTAGTACTAATCCCATATCTGCATTTACCATAAATATGCTAAATTCCTCTTGATATGCAAATTATTTTGTCAAGGTGCTCTTCTCCCTCCAACCCAGCTTAAATATACGTTCCAAGCCTGGGGTGTTTCATTCAGACGCTGTCTTCCCGACAGACCTGTTCTTCACCTGAGGACGGCTGCTTGCGTTATGGCCGAAACGTCGTGAGAATTATTTTATTATGTTTTATTTGTATTATTTTATTATTTCCCTTCTACGTGACTTTACCGAAAGAACCAAGAAGAAGGCTTACACTGCCATGCCATTGCCTTGTCCCTCCCCACATACTTCGAGCTATAGCCAATGATCCTGCCAGTGCCATTGGCTTGCAGTGGCCAAGTGCTTATCACTACCCGAACTGTAACGAACACAGTTAACCCTTTCCCATTCTGATGACATGTGTACGTATTTGTACATCGTTAGTATTTCTTCTAATTCCATTCCGATGACGTACATTCCGTCATCGAAACATACGTCATCGGAATGGAATTGGAAGTGAAAGGCCATGCAGGAGGGCATATGGCACAGTTTGTCGCCAGCAATCATGTGCGGTCGTGTTGCTACAGTTTTCTGCGGTGAGTACAATGTCTTTAAAAACAGCGGCGCTACGCCTCTAAATGAATTGAATGCCGAACCGCTTGTGCGTTCCGAGATTCTAAGTAAACGGGAACCCACCCTGCAACTTGCAGATGTCTCTGAACGGAGAAAGGTTAACGTGTGAAATATGCTGCAGCGGCTGGTGTGCGGAGAGCGAGAAGGAGAGGCAGAGGGGGAGAACGACAACGATGAGGCTCGAGACAGCAATGAGAGCGACGAAGGCCAGGGGGAAGGTCTTGACTCCATGTACCTCCTGCCGAATTCCACCGCATGGCTCGGTGGACGAATGAGCGGAGACGTAACGGGAGTCGAACCGGTATCATCCACGTCGCTGTTTCGCTCGGACATCAGACCACCACAGGAAAGAAGGGACTGGACCAGGATTAAAGAGGAGCAGGCACACGGGGGTGAGTACAAGTGTGGTCGGGTATGCAGGCAAAACACGGAAGTGCTGCATGTGTGTTTGTCTCCTGGGTGTTTGTGCTGTGTGTGCATTTGTCAACTCGGCCATAAATGAAATCCTGGTTGTGATGGATAAGCACCAGCACTGGGGAGCCAAAGGAACTCAGATATGGTGCTCACCACACCACCCCACTGTGCCATGCTGGCCTTCACAGGCACTCCATAAGCACTTGTCCCAACAGTCTATGTAGGCCATACATGGTACCATTGATTTTGTACACGCATTGTCCTTGTGGTTGCAGGCCCAGATGTGTGTCCGGGCGTGGTCTACCAGGACGAACGAGGCGAGTGGGTGACTGACCTGGCATTCTTCACGCCGCTGGACACGCTCACAGACACGTACGGGGGCCTTGCTCACGCCACCTCCAATGACGGCGACTTCATCTCTGGCAGTGAGTAGGCACATGGAATGTACCATCTCTACGTAGGTTGGATCAGTGAGTGGCCACACGGAATATACCATTACTCTGTGAGGTGGATCAGTGAGTGGGCATATGGAATGTATCATATCTGTATGGGTTGGATCAGTGAATGGGCACACGGAGTGTATGTAGGTGTATTGAACTTCTTTCGCACCGTACATAGCTAATCATGCTAATCGGAGGTGTGCGAATCGGAGATGTAACATCTCTATATAGGGTGGATTGATGAGTGAGTACGTGGAATGTACCATGACGTTATGGGGTTATTTTGGTGAGTGAGCATTTGGATTGTATCATCATGATGCAGGGTGGATCAGTGAGTGAGCAGATGAAATGTAGCAACACAATACTGCGGTGTCTCAGTGCCTGGTGATCCACCACTGACCCCACTGTGTCTTCACGAGCAGATGATGTGGCTGCACTCATGGACGCTGATGAGGAGGCCTTCCTCAAGGAGAACCCTTTCACGCAGGTATTGTCTCGTGTTGTGTCGCTACAGTTAAACACTTATATTTTCTTTTGACATTGAGTGATATGGGGGGAACTGTAGCACGTCTTGTCTGATTTTATATTTATAGAGCGCCTTAGCTCAAGGCGCTTAACATAGTTTAAAAAGTAGTAAAAATTGGGGGTGTGCAAGGGCTGAGGAATGAGTGACTGCAACAGAGGGCACATGGGAGTCACGAAAGCGCTACAGGGGAGGGACGGGACAGAGTGAAGGGGCGAGGGGAGGTAAGAGGAAGGGAATGGGCAATGGAGAAGAGGTGAGGCTTTAAATGAGGAACGGAAGGAGGTTCAGGAGGGAAGGGGTGCAAGCAGGGAGAAGAATCAAACGAGATTGTGCACAGGGAGAAGGAGGGACAGAGGGTGACGCAGATTAGATTGGGAACGAAGAGGAGGGGATATGGAAGGAGATGAGAGAGATGAGATAAGGTGGGGCAAGGCCATGGAGAGATGTATAGACCAGTGTAAGGTATTTGAAAAGACAGCGGTGTAGTAAACGGGAAGCCAGTGGAGTTGAAGGGGGAGAAGCGAAGTGTGTGAATTAAATTGGAGACTGACTAACCCACGGGGGAAGCAGCAGCAGCAGTGGCACTGCGGTGTGGATTCCTGGCAAGGCACCGCGTACAATGTCAGGCGCCAGGCACGGCACTCACCAATGCTACTCGGTGCCAACACCGGGGCAACTTAAAGTAATTGGCAATCGGTTAACTTGCTGACACGTTTACAGTAACCAACCATCAGTAAGTGAAGAGCTGCTCATTATATTTCCCAGCTTGCGTAAACATACTTAATTCATTTATTCGCAAGCAGGGTTTAATCCGCGACCCGTATAATTCTTGGGTAGAGTTTTTTTTATTTTGGTCCAGGTTGCGTCATCCTTTAACTGCCACTTGTTGCGGCGGTGCCTGCAGCTAGAGACGTGCGAGGGGGCGATGGTGCCGACCACCGCCGATGGTGGTAGTGTTGATGATATCACAGCAGCCGCGGCGACGTTGGCCGATGTGACACTGGGCATGGGCGACTCGTCATGGCGCCTGTTGCCCGATGGCCACATGCAGCTGCGGGCCTCGCTGGCACCGGACGGCGGTGGTGACGAAGAGGAGGCCGACGCCTACATGCGACTCTCACTTGGCACGTTCATCCGCCAGCGTTCAGAGGCGCTGGGCTCGCTCTGGGGCAATGCGGCTTCCTCCATGAGGGTAAGTGCCGGCAGGGGGCAGAGAGTGGAGGTGCTGGTGACTGGCACAGTACAATTACGGTTTTGATTAATGTGGCTTCTTAGGTAGAGGTAGGGAGCTTTACGGCCCACAGCCAGTTGAGGCCTGCCACGTTGAAATTGCCTGCAAATGATTTTTATCTGAGACTGCCAGCATCTTGATCACACTAATCATGTATTCTGGTCCTAGACGAGTGCTTTTGACCTGGCAAGACCATCTAGGCTAGCACGCTCAGGTACTTCTGGCACGGCAACGGCCTCTTTACTGACAGAAGTGACTAAGGTATATGTTAATGCGTGGCTCACCAAATGTATTTGGAACTCCTAGTCTGTTCGTGGTCTAAGGGGTGGAACGCAGTCATTAGTACATACTGCACTATGGACATAGTGAAGTTTAATTTCCTGCCCTCCCATCACCTTCCCCACATTCTTCACCAATCCACACTGACCAATGTGGAGAAGTATTGTCAAACAACCCCAATGACTGAAATGGTGTGGGGAGACCTTCGTCTGGAAGTGAATTTATGAAGGGCTAGAAATAATAATAAAAATTGTCACGTCACTGTATCTGCTTCTGTCCGTGCATGTTTCTGTGTGTCGGTGTGTCTGTGTGTTTGTGTCTGTGTGTTTGTGTCTGTGTGTTTGTGTCTGTTTGTGTGTTTGTGTCTGTTTGTGTGTTTGTGTGTCTGTGTGTTTGTGTGTGACCCTATTTACGGTCCACGTGTGTGTGACCCTATTTTTATTATTTACCACTAAACTACGTGAAAATATTAAATGAAGCTTGTGCCGGAGGCCACGAGGGAACTTTGGCGGAACCAGGAGACTGAATCCACTCTGACCATCTACATTATCCTACGTTAAAAAATGCGGGTTCGGAGAGCCGTACGGCGTGGAAAGGATGGGTGGTGGTAGTGGATTGCTAAAGAGATTGTCTGCCTCAGGAGCCCTCGATCATAAATCACTCTTTAATTCCATCCAAAAAGTTACTTGCAGTGCCACACCTATCACCATCTTTAGGGGGAAAAATGATGATCTGATGTCCGACGTTTCTGTGAGGTCGGGGCGGGGGGGGGGAATCCCTCAGCCTGGAAAACATCACGCGGCAAAGTGGGGGATGATCCTGCTGAGGCTACGGTGCCACCCCCTGTGAGTGTGGCTGAAGTGTCATCTGTTGAAGTACAGAAGGCGATCCAGAGTCTAAGACGAGGAAAAGCGCGAGGCAGAAATTATCTCCCAAGCGAAATGCTGAGAGGGTGGGTGGCGTTTGTGCGCAGACTGCCCTATATGACATCGAGGGCAGAGGAGCGACGCTCACAACAACAAACGGAGCAGCAGGTGGCTAAAACTCAACAAGTTGGCACAGTAGAGGGCACAGGTAGTGCATCGGCCAGTCATCTAAGTCAGTCGATCCATGGCACCTGGGTCTGTCCCGTCACTGACCTGCCGGTGGCCATTCGACACTTCACGTGGCCTTAACGTGCACATAACCTGGCAAAAGCGCCATGGTGACATTACCACCACTTAGTGGCGAATGGCGGTTGTTGCTAACCATATTTACACTCCGTGTCTGTGCGTCTGTCCGTGCTCTCGTAGCCGTCATTTGGCTATGACATTGTGTCCCCCGAGAGGCGAGCGCCGTTTGCGCTGCTCCGCATGTCAGACGCGTCGTCCTGCTGCTCAGACGCCACCGCCGAGCGAACACTGCAGGATGGGCGGGACGATGGCGAGGACAGTGGAGATGGCGCAGAGCTCACCTTGTTTCCTGGTCAGTGTTGACAGAATCGGTGATTAAATTAATCATCGACTGTGAATTATTTGAAGTGAATGATGACAGCGAGTGGACGAAAATCATCAAGCATGACAATGAATATGACTCCCCCACCAAAGATTAAATCCTGACTTGACTGATAAGACAAAATTAACTTGTCTGAATAAAGACTGCAGTGCACTGAGGAAATTAAAAATGGTAATTGGCTGTGTATTCATATGAAACAAGTTACTAAGTTCATGGATTTGCAGACCTGAAAAAGTATATTGACATTAGGTGAGGATTTCTTGGATGAACAAACCGTCTAAAATTGCTTATTCTTTTTGTCACTCGTGTATGGAACCAACCAGATGGCTCTGTTTAGACCCTTAACTTGCGATCCCAATTCATCTTTCATCTGGGGTCGATAAATTGTATACCACTCTTAAAGTATTGTTGTCCTGAAAGTGGGGGACTGCCCACTGTCGTGCGAGTGTGAAATTTCCACCGCTGATTCCAAGCACAAGTCATTTGACCTTCCGGTGATGTCGGTAACAGACATCGCCCACGTGCGATCCAGGCTTAAGAGGAGTTTTGATTTTAGTGATCATCTATCTCTTAAGGCGTCCTTCACACTGCCAGAGGAAAGCCTCTCATCAACAGCTGCACTCAACCCTCATCATTCCTCTGTGCTCAGTATCGGTGGAGGAGGCGGTGTCACCGGCGCCTATACCGTCGCAGACGGTGCTTTTGTCACCGGCCCGAACACCGTCGAGTGAGGAGGCCGGGCGGCGTGGCGCGTCTGGGCGTGAGCAAGGACAGAAGGGGGATGGAGCGGTGAGACGGGGGGGAAAACACAGTCATTGGGCGAGGGTTAGAGTTGTGATTGGTATTAGGGGTTGAAATTTCGGTTATTGTTTGAGTTGTGTTTGAGTTTATCAACACTTGAGTTAATTTGATTTGTTACACAGATGATTCCATTTTGCCAATTGGCTGGCTATTTAATAAGGGATATATGTGGTGCATGAGCACACAGCTGCTCAAAATACAAAACCATAAAACATGCAAAGAACGAATACAGGTTTCTCAAGGAATATTGCGCAACAAACAAACGAGGGATTCAACGGTTGAAAAAGACTAAACAATGTGAGAGCAAGAGGTACCAGAAAAAATTGGGTACAAGCGCGAGTGAACTTTGCATTCAGATAAAATAGGAACACAATAAACTAAACTTTTTTTATTTTACCAGGCTTGGCCCACTGGGCTATACATCTAATTTTCAGATGTTACCTGGCCTTTAATGGAAATTTGTAAGACAAATACTCTAAAAAGCATGTTTCTGAATGTGGAGGGAAAAACCAGAGGACCTGGATAAAAATCCACGTGACCACGGGGAGAACATGCAAACTCCAAATATACAGGCATCAGCGTCGGAATTGAACCCACAACCTCCTATATACCAGGCAAGGTAGTTAACATCTTGCCACTGTGGCGCCCAAAAAAATGGATAGTGAAGGGACATGAGTGGCAAGGGTGTTCCAGAAACGTGCAGCAGCAACACAGAAAGACTTGTAACCAAACAGAGTTTTAAGAAATGTAATTTTCAATCAGAATAAGGAGGCACTTCTGAGGCTACGGGAGATAGGAACTGAATGGTCTTTTAGGTAATTGGGTGACTTTTTTGAAGAGGGCATTTAGGATGAACACATGCCAGTGATGGTCTCTCCAGATATCCAGGGGTACAGATTTGAATTGATGTACAGTTTACAATGATTAATTCAAAACGGAAAGCAATGCTACACTGTGAAGAGATGTTATAGGGTAGGTTTGTAAGCTTGGCCTTGACATGGGTTGTGGTTTTGAATTCATGTTGGGGTTTAGGGTGGATTGTAGTTGGGATTATAGGTCAGCGGTTAGAATAAGGATTGACAGCTGTTGTCAAGAGTTTATTGTGGCGTTCAGAGTCCTTTGTACATTATATGATACGATTCAGGTTTGGGATGAGCATGAGTGTCACAGGCCTCTGATTTCGTGCTGTGTTTTTATAGGAGAGAAAATATTCCTCGGATATTGTTTCCAGTTAGGTTATGGTTAAGGTTGTGATGTTGTGGTTATGATTGAAGTTAACTGTTGTGTTTTGGTTGAGGAATTATGGGTTGGGCTCTAAGTCCGAGTTCATGGTTAGATTGTCATAAAGGTTGGGGATTGTAATTGAAATTATAGATTGAGTTTATAAGTGACTGCGACTGGGGTTGATAATATTTTCATCCTCTCTGTCTGTGTAGGCCACCCACCCTGAAGAATCTGTGCTACACATCAGCAGCATCGCATCGGCCATCGCCAATGCGTCTTTGAACGCTGACCCCATGCAGCTTGCGGCCATGATCATGCATCTTTCAAACAAGGGCCACCGGGCCCAGCCACCTGGAGCGGTCACCAGTCCCACCCAGTGTCCCCTGGCGCCAGACTCGAGGCAACTGCTTTCCGTTGAACCCCGTGAAAACCTCACGGCACCACCACCATCATCAATGTCTTCATCGTCATCGGTGGCACCGTCGGGTGTGAAACCCAGAGAGCAAGATGCCGGCTCCGGTTCGCAAGCTCCTGATGACGGTGCGGATGCTTTGAAATCGGTGACACCAGAATCACCGCTCATCCTGTCCCCGTTTGGGGCCGTTTGCGAAGCGTCGGCGGCAGTGTCTCTAACGGACGAGCCTCTGTCCGTGTCTGCATGGTGCGCGTCCGTGTTTGGCGCCGGCGGTGGCAGCGTGCTGGCAGAGGAGAGTCGCATACTGGAGCGCACCTTCGACTTGGAGAAGTACCTCAAGCAGGTGTCGCTCTATGACGACGGCAATGAAAATACGAAGGAGGAGCGGGGCAGTGTGAACTTCGCCGCCACCGCCAAACATGCCACCTTCGCAACCACCGCTGCCGTCATCGCCCCCGACCCCTCGACCGCCATCCCTGCCCGTGAGCCAGGAGATGAGACGCTGACGTCGCCGCCACTGAGCCGGGTCGCCCGGCCAGGCGACGCACGTGAGAGACGGAGCCGAGGCGCCGGTCCCAAAGACGGTCCACCGCCGGTGTCGGCTCGAGGCTCAATGGTTGGCGTAGAGGCACGAGCGGAGAAGCCCAGCACGAGTGAGCGATCGGCGAGGCCATCGGACCTGCGGCAGAAGGAGTCTAAGGTTTCGGCAAGCAGACGAGCGTCGGGGGCTAAGACAACGGCGAAGAGGGAGAAGGTCGGGGAGCGCACGGTGATCGTGGGGGGGGACTCGTTGGTGCCAGGAGCTACGATCGGAGTTGAGCAGCTGCTCGCTGGCACCGGAGGGCAATCGCGCACGCAGCAAGATGGGACCTGGAGCCACAAGGGGGAGAGGAACGTCCTCCAGAGAGACGTCCGGACAGCGGGGAATTCCACCGATGGTCAGAGACATCTTCTCAGTCTTCTCTTCGTGATCCATGTAATACAGTTTAGTTTTTGTTTAGTTTCTTGTCCTTCGCCCACATCTCCGATCAATACAGTTGGTAACGTATGGTGCGAAGGAAGTTCACCATACATACATATGTTCAAAGAGAGATCCTTGCGGGCAGCACTTGTCCAACATAGTCCACACACCTTCACAGTGCTCATCGCGAGATCTTTGCATCACATCTAATGGTGTTTGGGGAAACCATACGGATGCCATTTACTTCCTAGCTGCAGTCCCGTGCTGCATTAAGGAAGTGAATTGGGAATTGAGTCTGTGCTTTCGGAAGCCAATGTGCGTGATGGGATAAAACTCTCTGCACATAAAACAAATGTATTTTTTTTACCCTTCCATTACAGGTTTTAAATCGTCTTCAGAGCATAGGTATTTGATTTTGTGCCAGCAGTGCCAAATTATTTAACATATATTTAGATAAATCTTCCTGTCTTTTCCCAGCGATCAGATGCATCTTCCTGTGTTATTTTGGTGATCATTGACATCTTACTGTTAACACTAAGTGATCAGATACATATTTCAGTTTTATCTCAATAGTTTCCAAAATCCTTCCATTGTGTTAATTATTATTCAAATATTTTACTCAATCCACCTGGTTAGAGGGATGTCATTGTTTGGTTATTTCGGTAAAGTCACGTAAATAGAAAAATAATAATACAAATAACGTGAATAAAAATAATACAAAACAAAAAACCACTAATGTAGACTGTAGCCTGGTTCTAAATCGGAGTGAGTGTACTGGCAGTCTATGATGTAGACTGTATGAATGGTTATTAAACTGAGTGAGCGTACTGGCTGTCTATAATATAGACTGTAGCCTGGTGCTAACCTGAATAAATTAAAATCAAATTAAAATAAAAACCACGACGTTTAGATCGCAACATAAGCGGTTGTCATCAGGTAAAAGGGGGGTTAGCCTCTAGAGGCAAACTGTTTATAAAGGTTTTAGAGATAGGCATAGCCCAAGTGTGTCAGTAGCATGGGCGGGGCAGTTAATGTTAATGTAGGAAACAACTACGCAGTTAGTGGGTCTCCACCAAAAGGGCCTCCAGACAATCATTGCACCTTGCTCCACACACCCACACTGCTGACGGTGGAGGTTGACAAGAAAACACAAATCAAGTCATGACCCAAAGTGGTTGATAACATCTTTTCAATGATTGCTGAGTTTATAACCATCCTCTCGGTTGAAATTGTCTCAATTTATATGGATGGCTTCATGAACAAATCTTTGTTGATAGCCAGTAAACTTGCAAAGTACCATCGTCGTAGAGAAATCAATTTCGTGTGAGCCAGCCGCATTCAAATAATTATCGACCACGGCAGAAGTATTGGTCCTACTGTGTTTCAGATCTGCCTTATGTTCACGAACACGGTCCGAGAAATGTCGCTTAGTTTCCCTAATATAACTGCTGCCGCATATACAGCTTAGTTTGTAGACGCCAGGATATTGCATGTCAGGAATCTTATCCTTCACAGATGGGATCAGATCACGAATTTTATGTACTTTGTTAAATCAGATCTGGATCTTGTGTTTGTTCATGATTTTGGAAATATGTTTGGTTACCCCTGCTATGTATGGCAAGGTGATGGTTTTGATTGGATCCTCAGATGACTCCTTTCTCACGGTTGGGGTGATGGCTTTGCGTATTATATAGTTAGAATATCCATTCGCCTTGAGAGCTTGGTGTACGTATTTGAGTTCACTGGTTAGGTGTTCATGGTCAGAGATACATTGAGCTCTATGGTGTAGCGTTTTGATGAGGGCATTTTTCTGGGATGGATGGTGGTGGGAATCAGGTTTTAGGCAGGCGTCAGTCTGGGTTACTTTCCTGTAGACAAAATGGCTTATTAAGCCATCTGGTCTCTTTCTGATTAGGACATCCAAGAAAGGTAGCATGCAATCTTCTTCTACCTCCATGGTGAATTTGATTGCTGGGTGTATGGAATTGATGTGGTTGAGGAATTGGTTCAGAGTCTGTCGGCCATGTGGCCAGATGACAAACGTGTCATTCACGTACCTCTTCCACAAGGATGGGCGTAGAGTGGATGCCTGGATGGCGTCCATCTCAAATTTTTCTATGAAAATATTGGCTACAACCGGAGATAAGGGAGAACCCATTAGGGTGCCTTCAGTTTGTTTATAGAATGTTCTATTCCAGGTGAAGTAAGTGTTGGTGACGAAATTTTTCACCAGGGCCACTACATCAGTATTCAATCCTTGTTGGACCAAATCTTCAATGATTGCAATGGTATCTGGCACAGGAACTTTGGACAAAGAAACTACATCGAAACTAACGAGCAAATCACCTGGGGACGGTGAGATGTCTTTAATTGACGATGCCAGGTGAGCTGAGTTAAGTACGGAAGAGGTGGTCTTACCAGTGAATGGCTGCAAGGTCTCAGACCAAGGCCGTAGCCATGGAGTCAAAATTCGGGGGGACCAAATCTTCCAGGGGCTCTGGGTTCCCTCACTAGGATGGACTTTTTATTGTCTAATAGTGTATTGTATTACATTGCTGTTTTTTCTTTTTTACCTTTTATTGTTTCATTGTATGTAATGGCAGAGATTAGTGATTAATAAAGTACAACCATAACCACAATCATATATATTCTATTTTATAGCAATATATTGGGGGGGATGTATCCCCCCCATGTGTGTCCCCCAATATATATTATAATTATGGCCTTGTCTCGGATAGATAACGGGCCAGTTTGTAGGTGGGTGAGCCAATGGTGCAGACGATGGGACGAAGGGGTGTACCTTTTTTATGGATTTTTGGTAAGCCATATAATTTGGGTGGTCTAGCAGCAGAAGGTTTTAATGAAAACAGTTTGGTCTGTTCAATTAATGAAGCTGAATCAGTGATGATACTGTTCGTTTTTGTAAAGAAGCTGTTAGTGGAATCTGTTTAAATTTTTGTGTAGCTACCATTAATTAGGTCCTGAATTTGATTAGTCAGTAGTTAAAGGGATGTCATGTTATATTGGTCGTACAAATCTTTTAAAACATCGTCAGTATTCAAAACCACAGACTGAACCGGCGTCAAACATTGCACGAGCACTGTCTGTGATCCTCTACTGGGACCATTGCTGCTTGAGCACCACAGCATTATGGCACAACATCACAGCACGATCAAATAATGTATTTTATCTCAGCCTGGATAATACTTGGATGGGTTACCACCTTGCATGCCAAGTTTGTCAAAGGTGGCTGTGGGACTGCTCTATGGTGGTCAGTAGAGGGCTGTGCAACAAAATTCAATGTACTTTGATTCTATGCTCTCACATTTATGCTCCTTGCCTTCGCAAACCCACTGATCAGCGGGAAAGGAGAGGCTCTCTTCCAGCAGTGTGTACACGTGCTTGAGGTGTGCTCATTCCTGCTAATGGCGTGCTTGGCAGAGCACAACCTGGGGTCAAGCGAGCCACGGGGAGGGCAGCCCGAGGAGACTTTTCTGTTCCGCCCGTCCACGTCGCCGCTGTCTCACTCGTCGCCAGGCCAGGGATCTGACACCAGCAACTCTCCCAGCACCAACACTGCCCCCAGGTAAAGCTCAATTCACCATCGATATCGCCATCACCTTCATATCCACCGTTTGCTGCAACGCATCCATCACCATCAGCGTCACAACCATCATCCTTACTGCCACCAAGGTATTTCCTCCTCTGTCCTCACCACCATGTGTGGTGTTTCATGTGTGGTGTTGTGCGTGTATAGCATCGTGTTAGTTTTCATGTGGTGTTGTTTTGTGTGATGCCACATTGTGTACTTGGTTATCATGTGTAGTACTGTCTAGTGTGTGGTACCATATGGTTTTGTCATGCTTAGTACAGTAAACCCTCTCTTGAAAACCCTCTCCGTGTTCTTGAAAAACGCTTGCGAATCCAAAATTTGCGTATGCAGAAACCTTGTTCTAATGGGAAAAATGGGGTTTCGTTCCTGGTACGTGTGTACATGGGGGAAATGGTAAATGTTAAATAAACAATGACGACAACAAAAAATATACAGAACAATGTTTTTTTTAATTATCTTTAATAATGATGATTGACAAAGATGGAGGTGGTGGTGAGGAATTCAGGAGGATGACTCATCGGTAGATGCAGGTGTTTGATGACAATGCAGAGTTGTTATTTTAGCACTCTGGGGAGTGCTAGCCACAACACTTTCCTAGATTGCATTCGCGTTCTTTTTAATGGACCTCCACAGTCGACTCGTTTATACCAAAACGTTTCAATAAGTCGACTATAAGTAGTGTAATGAAGGAGCACCATCCCGGGGATGCCAGAGGGTAACGAGTACGGGCACGATTATGTCATCGGGATCCAATCTGAGAGGGGGGATATGATCGAGAAGGTTCTCCGAGGGGGTGTGGCCAGAGGCGGGGCTTAGCTCCGCTGAGGGGGATATAAGGGAGAGCGGGGGGGAAGGTTCGAGGTCAGTTGGGAAAGCCTGGGTTCCCTTCTCCTCGCCACGGGCCACGTGGTGGTTCTTCCCTCGAAGCTCGCCTCCGCTTCCAGTGCACCGTCAGCCAGCGGCGAGGCCAGAGAGTGGAGTGAGCCTCGTGGGAATGTGGAGAGAGAGAGAGAGAGGCGCCTCGTCCACGGTTTGGGAGAGTGTAGCCATCAGGAGGGGAAGTGAAGCTGTGCTGTACCGTTGTGAATAAAGAAGCACCCAACAAGCATCGTCGTGGAAATACTTTATTACAGGAGTGTAATGAAAGACTCCATCAGGCACTGCTGGTCTCCGTTTGTCTTTTATTCAGGTTCTTCTCCGCACCCCTCTCCGCACCCCACTGGCCTCCTCAGTGTCGTCTCGCGCACGCTCCCTCTCGCGTGCCACGCATACTCTCTCTCTCGCGTGCCACGCATGCTCCTCCGTTAGCTCCTCTATTCCCGCATTCCGCACACCGCTGGCCGACGGCGTGCTGAGGTCCTTCGGCCTCGTGGCCGATGGCGCGGATCTCTCACCACCCAACGTGGCTCAGACTCTTAACTTCCCCGACTGCCCCAATCTCTTCCGGGCTCCCACTTATATACATTCCCCCCACGTGACCCTGACTCCTCCCCTTCCGGATCGTCAGATCCGGCCTTCCCATACTACCCCGCTGGCTCCGCCCCCATTCACCTCGCCTCCCATTGGAGCCGAGGTGAACGGTGGCCCCTCCCACACGCCTCGCAGACCAATACCCCGGGCCGTGTGATTGGACCTGATCCCAGCAACAACCCCATTTACGCTCGCATTACAGGAGTATAAAGTAAAAATGCACAACAGTTCAGAGCGGGATTACTGCGAAATTAAAGACTAAGCGGGCAGCCGAGGGAGCTTGCCTAATCTTCGCAGACAGTTTTAAATGTAAAACTCTGCGCGCACCTCCCCGATGCCAGTGGTCTGGCGCTACGTAAACTTGTGAATACTGGAGTCCGGTGGGTCGCCAATAGGGAATTGGTATACATTTAGTCACTCGCGAATATGCGAAACTCTCTAAACCATAACTGGCGCATCGCAAGGGATTTATTGAATTGTGTATGCTGTAGGTATGGAGTGATGTATCATTTAATGATTTAAACAATTTAATATGCTCTTGATATACACATGGAATTTTGCCGCAAGGAAAATCAATCTATATTCATGAAAGTTAAATGCTCTTATTTACATATAGGCTAACGAGGCGAACACAATTATGAAATACAGGCAGAAGAAATGAGAAATAATGGTACAAATGAGACAAAAAAAATAGATTTTTTTCATCAAACCATGACCCTTAATCGTAACAATTCATTGCATCTCCTGGGCACTGAATCTACGTCCCCAGTTTGTGGCAAGCCATTAAAGGCGCAGCCCTGCAATTTGCTTGCTCATGCCACTACTGGCAGAACTGCCTCCACTAGAAGGAGCTCAATACAGGCCCTCGAGAGCGTATTTGGCCTGCTCTTCCATGCAAGCCAGACATTTTGTAAGAGGTGGAAGTACCCACACTTTGCTCCACCGCACGTGTGACCTGCAGATCGATTAACTGTCGTGTGTCCATGTATACTGCTGAGTAGGCAGTCGGGGGTAGGGGAGGATTTAAGAATTCAGCTCATGGTTTCAACTGCCGTGCTGGGTGGGAAATTGGACTGGCAGATTGCAAGTCCAGTCTGCTTAGCATTGCATCCCTCCAGTATGTTTCATTGTGTGGTAATAGTATGTAGTAGCGCGTGTGACGCCAGGTTTGCTCTGGTGTTGTGTAAATGGCTGTGCGTGCGCAGCGTCGTGCGTGAGGACCGGACCGGTGGGACGTCTGTGCCGTGCGCCACTCCAAGCGTGAACGGGCCAGTCGGCCATGCGTCCCCTACCTCCCCGTGTGACCCAAGCCTCAGCCGCCTCACGTACCTGTCTGAAGGTGACAGCACCCTACAGAACAGCATCTGCTTCCCCCCGCATCCCATCTCCACCACCAAGGTGAGCCTTGACCACTGCAGCACGTTCTTCAATAAGAGTACCCTAAAGAAGGAAACTGATATAATGGGTAATGTTGTTGCAATAGCCCTTCTTCACAGTGGAGAACATGGGCCATTTCCTGACACCTCACCTGTTTTATAAATATTACTCTTTTGGGCATTGTTATTGAAGAACACGAGTTTTTTTCGTGTTTGTACACCACTGCAAATACAGTATCCCAGATGTTTTGTTTTTTATAGTGGAGAACGTGTCCTAATGCCTCCCAACCTGGGTTTTGTGGGTCAGCTGATGATGTGGGATCTTTTTGTGATGTTTGAGGCTGAGAGGAATTAATAGAATTCACCAACCCTGCCTCCAGAGCACTTCAGTACAAATTTGAGTATTAAGTATCCAAATGTGACTGCATCACAAAATGATGTACAAAGATTAGGAACACATGCTGGAAGAAGAGGTGATGGTGAGTGGACAGGGAGATGGTGAGTGTATGGTAAAATGGAGAGAGAGTTATAGGCAGAGTAAAAGGGACAACATTTAAGGGAGTACTTGTAGACATGCACTGAGTCTGCAGTGCAGAATGCCTAGACCACAACATAAAGGATCAGTCTCCATATGAGTTGGCGCTAACAGTACCTGGCCTGCCACCCATGTGCGTGCGTGTGTACTCCGCAGTGCAATGAACTCAGCACGACCATCGTGTCGAGCAGCCCCACGCCAGACCTGGATGCTACCCTGACCCCCGCGTCCAGCGGAGTCGAGCTACAGCACAGCCCTCACCAAACCCTGCGGCTGTCCTCCACCACCTCCTACCACCATGTCGCCAGTTCTGGCACCATCCGGTTGCCACCCGACAGAGTTACAGACCCCGGGAAACTGGCAGCCCCTCTTCGAGTCCTGGCGTCCAACGCCGTTCCGACGCTGCTCACGGCGCAGCCTCTGATGTCCTCGGCGGCGCTGGTGCAGGGCTACCTGACGGACAACATCACAGCCGACTATCCCGGCGCACTGGCCACGCCGCACTACACGGTCCCGCCGGCCCCCACCGTGCCGCTTCCGTCCTCGTGCCACCTGCACTGCGTCGCCGGCGTCACCGGGGCTGCCTTCCCGACGGCGGGATTCATGAGTTCAGTGCCGGCGGTGAGCTGCACCGCCGCGAGTGCCGGACTGTACAGCATGCCGTCACTCGCCGGAATCCTTCAGGGGGCGCAACACGGGCTGCTTCCGGGAACTCATTCTGGAATGGTGCACATGCTGGGTGAGCAGAGATATAATTGCAACCTGTGCGTGCGTGGCATCTGGTATCACCTACGGTCAAGACTGGGCATATGACGATGTCTTGATTTATGAATTAAAATGGTTATGCTCTCGCTTCGTGGATAAAATTGTGTATGTGGAGTGGAGAGAGCTGTACCAGCAAGATAAAATCTGAAATAATACAAACGGGAGGTTATTATAAGACAATAATAATAATTGCTTGAATAGAATTACATCCCGAATTGTGATGGCTGAATTGCTATGGGGGTGAATCGCCAAATGCGTACTAAACAGCCATGTCCGTGCAGACCTCGGGGCGACACCGTGCCGCGTGCTGGTGCCGGAGGAGCTGGGCTTCCCCAATGCGTGCTGCGTGGGCATCGCGGCACAGACATCGCTCAATGTTTACAACCCCACGGAGCGCTGGCTGCAGGTGTCACTGTGCCTGTTGAGTACCTCCATTGACGGCGAGAAGGTGTGTGGTGCGAGGTGGTGTGTGGTGCGAGGTGGTGTGTGGTGCGAGAAGGTGCGTGGCACAAGGGCGATGTTGTTCTCGGCCAGAGCTGGAGGATAGGGCAGCTGGTGCAATAGATAGGCCAAATTTACATTCTTTGACGATGTTTTCCATGGATGTACCAGTCAAGGGATGGCTCACTATTGGTCAACCCTTGGTATGCGGATTATCTGGTGATTACTGACCACTCTGAGAAGGATTTGGAGATGCTACTGTTGAACCTGGAGCGTGCTACTAAGAGATGGGGCCTTATCATCAGCCCCACAAAAACAAAGGCACCTGCCTGGGTATTATGTATCATCAAACACTCCCCTCCCTCAACTCATGAGTGATGGGGCAGTTGTGGAGACAGTGGAGAAGTTTACATACTTGGGCAGTGTGCGTATGACCAGCTTCGGTTTGGCAGCTGAGGTCTCACTCCGATTCAGTCGAGCGGCATTATCTTTTCATCAGCTACGTAACACTGTATGGAAGCTACCTGGCCTGTAACTCCATACAGCTCTGGGTGTTCTCGGTTACAGTTATGCCCTCTCTTAGCTTTGTTTGGAAAAACGTGGAGCCCTCTAAAGCAGGGGTGGGGTGCGTCCGGCCCGCGGGCCATATAAGGCCCGTAAAATCATTTGATCTGGCCCTGCCAAAGCAACCACAGGCAGGACTCGAAATTCAATGAATCTAGGAGCAAACCCGGAAAAGCAGTTGCGAGTAGCAACATCATCAATACCAGCTAACATCACACGCCTCACCAAAGAGAAGCAGTTCCAGTCATCACATTAGGGGTGAGTTAATTGAATGTTTGACCAAATATAACAGGCTAATTTTGAAGTTGATAATTTTGTATGGCCCGCGAATGATGTTTATAAATATCAAAATGGCCCTTGGCAGAAAAAAGGTTCCCCACCCCTGCTCTAAAGGAACATCTGCGCCGGTTTGAATCGTTTAAGCTCGCCTGCCTACGATCCATCTTGGGTTTAACGAGACTAGATTCTGTTCAGTTTGCACAGTTTCTTGAAAGATCTGGGTACATTCCCATCCGTGACATCCTCCGGCAAGTGGGTCTGCATTGGCTGAGTCATGTAGTCCGCATGCTCAACCACCGCATGCCCAGATAGTTGGGGCTAAATGGGCACAGCACGTGGTAGTGAAGAGATGATCTGATGCGGTACAGCAGGATGTTGAGCTGATTGGACTTGCCGATGACTGCTTATAGCAGTATCAAGATCGGCCTCCGTGGAGGACGTTAGTGAAGGGCAGAAGAGCAACGCTCACAACAACAAGTGAAGCGCTGAGCAGCTAAAACACAGAAAGTTAGCACATTGGGGCGCACACAGTTGGTGCATTTATTAGTCATCTCAGTCAATCAACCCCATAGTACCTGGGTCTGTTTCACAATCTCCTACCAGTAGGCCTTCGATACTTCACGTGGCCTCAAAGTACACCATGCATGGCACAAGCGCCGTGGTGGCATCACCGCCACTTACTGGTGAACGGCCTTTGTTGTTGTTATGGGGCTGTAACGTGGCCCAGCTGCAGTGTGTTCACTACTTTTTGCAGAGGGTTCACGGTTTGATTCCAGCAGGCCACCGTGGTTATTGCTGCTGGTGTATTGACCATAAAATACACACTGTCCGCTTCACGATGGACGTTAAAAATCCAGTGACTCCATTCAAAATTAGTAGCCCATAATATGCCAAATAAAAAAAGACTCACAAATGACTCAATTGGGATTACATATAGCCACCATCACCCCATTTTTGTGATGATTTTGCACTTTACGAATTGGAAGAAACATGAAATGTACTCAATGTTTATTATGTCTGTAGAGGTGTGTATGCTTGCTTGTGTCTGAATAAGACTCCGCACGTTGTTGGAGTGACGCTCACAATAACGAGCGGGGCGCCTTGTGCCTAAAACACAGCGAGTTGACGCAGTCGGGGGCACGGGTGGTGCATCACCAGACATCTCAGTTAGGCATCTGGGTCTGTCCTGTGACCTCCTGCCAGCGGGTATTCAACACTTCACTTGGCCTTAAAGTGTACTGAGCCTGGCACAAGTGTCGTAGTGACATCACCGCCACTTAGTTGCAAATAGCGGTTGTTGTTGCACTCACGTGTGTGCATGCCTGCCTAGGTGGAGGGTGAGAGCCAGCAGTGCTTGGTGTTCAAGAGCCAGACAGTGCTGGGGCCGCGCTCCTCCGAGGATGTGCGCGTGCTGCTCGTGCCACGCCGGGCTGGCGTGCACGTGTGCGTGCTCTCTGTGGCGTCGTGGCCCGTGGCGGCTACGCCGGTGGATGTGGCGCACGCCGGCGCCCTCGCCTCCCGCGTGCTGCTCACGGCGCTGGCGCAGCATCCCCATGTTCAGGTGTCCGTTGTGTGTCTTTCAGCTTGTGGGGAACGGTAGTGCAACAGTTAGTGCACTGCACTACAAACCCGGAGACCAGAGTTCAATTCCCGCTGATGATTATCTGAATCGATCCCCGGCCTCCTCTTGGTCGACTCAGCCTCAAATGAGTACCTGGTGCGGTGTGTGTAAACTACGCCACTGGGGAGACAAAGGTGGCTGGGCATGGTGCTGGCCAACCACTCCTTCGTGTGCCGTACCACCCTTCATCGGTGCTCGCTAAGAGCACTTCCCAAACAGTCTGTTAAGGCTATACGGGGGATCTTCGTCTTTCTACATGTGTAGTGACTGACTCCGAGACACTAAAAGTAGGAAGCACAGCTTGACAGTTAACACTTCATAAATCGTAACTAAATGAACTACGGTTCCCAGTCAGGACACCTGGTACACTGCCTGACTGGCGACGCGAAGATGGAGACAACGGCGAAGACTCCAGCAGCACGGCGGGATCCCACTCCACACGACAGCCTCGGTCCCCTACAGGGGTCCCTCTTATACTGCCAGCGTGGCCTGGCTCCGCCCCCGGCCACACCCCCTTTCTGGAACTTACTAGCGGGTTCTTAATGTGCCTCTTTCCGTGTCCTTTTCCCTAGATACCTCTGGTCGATCACCTGGCCTGCTCTCAGTCAGGGCTACTTTAAGCTGCAGATACACTTCCCCGCCAGCAGCCAGCACTTTGCTGCTACATGACCGATTCTATGTCACTACATATGTTAGGCTGTATGTGGTTTTTTATTACCAATGGACCACAGAAAGAGTACTGATGATGGTGGACACTGATGGTGATAATAATAGCGATGTTAGCAACAACAGAAATTATGATTATTGTGATTGTGGCAACTGATAAAGATGATCATAATGATATTGGTGGATAATAATGGTGATAATCATGGCTATATTGATAATGATGGTGGACACTGCCAGTGATTGTGGTGCTGATAATCTTGCAATGAGCGCCACGGTGGTGAGATGTTTATTACCTCATCCTGTTATATAGCAGGTCATGGATTCGATCCCGACCATGTAGCTTGTATATTTGGAGTTTGCATGTTCTGCCTGTCGTCGCATGGATTTTTCTCCCGGTGCTCTATTTTTTCCCTTCACATTTAGAAACATGTGTTCAGAGTATTTGGCTGCTATACATTTCCACATGGTAAGCCAGTTCATTGAGCTGTCATTTGTGACCAGGATGCTTCTGAAAAAGAGCGATATAGCTCAGTGGGCCTTACCTGGTAAAGTAAAAAGAAAGTAAAAAAGATTGAGGTTGATTGTGGTGGTGGACCATGATTGATGATGGCGGTATTGTTGTTGGTGATGCTCACAGTTGGAAGCCGGGAGTGGCCAGGGCGTGGAATTTGGCGACGTGCAGTGGGGCACGGCGCGAGTACTGCCGGTGCGGCTGACGAACCGAACGCGCGCCACTGTTCCCGTGCGTCTTGTCATCTCTGCGGTGAGCGCCACCTCGAGCTGCAAAGTATACAAAATTATTTGGCATTTGTTGTGACGGATACTGCAAGATCCGACCATGTCCGTCCGGTGCTTGCCAAGCTGCACTGGCTTCCGGTTGCCGAACGAATACATTTTGTCGGTCGCACTCATTACACACACAAAGTGCTTGAACAGCAATATGTTGTTAATCTCGTCAAGGAGCATAATCCATCACGTGAACTCCAGTCATCATTGCAGCGGCTTTTGGCTCATCGTCGAACAAAGACGGTCACTACATCGCCCGCATTCAGATGCGCTTCTGCGGCCATCTGGAACTCTCATCCTTCCTCTTTGGGTCTTTCGGTAAAGTCACGTAGATAGAAAAATAATTTTAAAAATCACGACGTTTCGATCGCAACACAAGCAATCGTCTAAAGGGAAAAAATACAGCAGGCAGACTGCTGAGGCAGGAAGAAATATATATTTCGTGATTTTTTATTTTATTTTTCTATCTCCGTGACTTTACTGAACGACCTAAAGAGTATGAATTCCTGCAGTCCTTCCATTATTAGGAAGCCACTGGAGCTATGGACTTTTGCATCTATATTGAAAACTCCTTACTTTCAAACTACTTTCTGTGTTTAGTTAGTTATCCTAACCCCGTTCATCCGTAATAAAGGTTTTTGGGTTGTCGCAACCCTCCACCACCCGACACGGCCAATCCGTAAAAAATGTGTCACGTTGACAAAAGACAAATATTTCACTACTTTAGCGCACCGGTGTGTTTAAGAGTGGATCCACAACATTTACAATTCGTTTACGACGTTTCGCTGGAAATTGCATCCAGAATCGTCGGGTGATTTGCCAGAATAGTGAAGCCATCTACCTGCTTCCGGTCTTAAATAGTGCAGGATGACGTCATCATTGTTGAACCCCATCAGGATTTGAGATCAGAGGCGGAGGTGGGGGTGTATGCAATTATATAATAGATCAGTAATCAGCCACTTAGCATTTGACTCACCTCTCAGGAATTGCAATGTGTATTACTTAATAATACGCTTCCATGCTGCACTGAGTCGATAGCGATTAAAATTATTTGAATTCTTCTAAATTTCAATAAATTGTTTAACTAATCTTGGCCAGTAATAATTAGTACTGCATAACTCTTCAACGTTATCAAAATCAATTGAATGTCCTTGTTGGCAATCATGCTCTGCCACTGCTGACAGCTGTGTTTGGGATAATTGAATGTACCTTTGGTGTTCTTTTAATCTTACGTTAATGTTACGTCCCGTCTGTCCAATATAACGCTTACTGCATAAGCAATGGATTCGATATACACCTTCTCTTGTGAACTTCGTTAATTCATCTTTAGTACAAGACACTAGTTTTTGAATTTTGTGTACCGTACCAAATCTCACTTTAATGTTTTGCTTTGCAAAACACGGACTAATTTGTCAGTAACTCTCGAGATATATGGTATTTTAATTGTTTTGATAATCTGATCACTTTCAGCAGTATTGTTGTTCGATCTTGGTTTGGCATTCAATGCTCTGTTAATTTGAGCATTATTGTAGCCATTCAGTCTTAGTGCTTTAACATGTTTGATCTCTTTCCATAAACTTTCACCATTTGACACTGTCTTTGCCCGATGTATGAGTGTCTTGATAAGAGAGGATTTTTGTGCTGGATGATGATGTGAATCTGCATTCAGATAGGCATCTGTGTGCGTTCCCTTTCGGTCGACGCTGTGTGTTATTTTGCCATTTTGACTGCGTTCAAGCAAAATATCCAGGACTGGGAGTGTGTTGTTTAATTTTAATATCCAACCAATACTTTAGAACGCAAGACTTCTGCAATTATTGCAAATGCATTAATCCCCAAGACTGAGCAATACCAAATTAAGCCACGGGCCTAAAAACCACCAAGATTGTATGGGCTACCAAGAATTCGTAAAATCGGTATCCCATTATGGCCCATAGTAAGTACAATAGACTCTGCCACATATAAATTAGCAAAATATGTAACTAAACAATACAGCCCTACATCGGAATGATATTTTCATTTATAAGAAATTCAGAACATCTTGTGGATGTGATTAAAGATATTAAACTTAACCCTAATGATATTCTGGTAAGTTTTGATGTCATGTCTCTGTTCACTAAGGTTTCAGTTAACGAGTCACTTAAATTACTTGATACACTGGTAAAGAAGACAGGTTTACCAGAAGATATTCAAAAACTAGCCGATCATTGTCTAAATACCACTTTTTTCTTGTGGAGAGGTGACTTCTTTAAACAAAAGTGTTGTGGATCCACTCTTCAACACACCGGTGCGCCAAAGTAGTGAAATTTTTGTCAATGTTACACATTTTTTACTGATTGGCTGTGTCAGGTGATAGAGGGTTGTGACACTTTTATAAATAACGCGATCTAACCCAAAAACCTTTATTATGAATAAAACTCGTTGCAAAAGCCTACGTGTTAAACCCGTACATCCGATTAGCACAGTTGGCTATGTACTGTGCGAAAGAGGTTCAACATGCGTACATATGTACCACTCCCAGGGAGAGGAACATGGAGTAGGGGGAGACGTGAATTTCTGGGACTTGGGCACTTGTAAATGCAGGACAAAGACCGATTGGATCTAAAATAAATAATGTTTTATTTTACCAGTTAAGGTCCACTGTGATATGTCGTTTTTTTTCAGAAGCAACCTGGCCATAAATGATAGCTCAACGAAGTGGCTTATCATGTGGAAATGTATAGAAGCCAAATACTGTAAACGCCCCTCTCGCTTTGGTTTCAGTCGTGAACGGGGCATACGCGGGTACTGTACGCGGTGACTCATCCCGACCCATACAAATTCTAGCAAACGCGTCGTATCTCAAGCAAGGCGTCGTATCCCAAGACATTTTTTCTAGAAAAAACACGACATATACCAAATTCGACGTATTCCAAAGCGGTTGTATACCGAGGTTCCACTGTATTGTGCATGTATTCTGTGCCATGCCAGCCTTAGTAGGTGCTTTCTTAACAGCACATGTTCCAGTCGTCATTGTCGGCTATATGGGGATCTTTCTCTGTATTGTGCGGAGCAGTGGATCATTGGTTAGCGCACTGTACTATGATCTTGGTGGCTCGATTTCATGTCCTGGGCCTCCCCGAGGTTGACTCAGCCTCCATTGAGTATCTGGTGTGGTGTGTAAACATCATCACTCAGGAGACCAAGGCGGCCAGGCGTGGACTGACCACCCACCCCCCTCGTGTGCCTTGCCGGCCTTCATACTTGCTTGCTAATAGCACTTGCTCATACAGTCTGTTAAGGCTATACAGGTGATCTTTTGTGTCAACGTGTAGAACGCTGTGGCGTGGCGCTGCTTCACGTTCAGCCGAAGCGACCCAGAGACTGCGTCCAACCCCACGACAGAGGCCCTGTCCGCTCCCTCCATCATCAACCTCGTGATGCATGCTGCACACTCCGCACAGGTGCTGCCTCACCACCCTCACTCCAATGGCTCTCCCACTACCAATTGGGGCTGTGTCCATTATGGGGCTGGCAACAAAAACACATTTTTGCGTGACCGGTAATCGCATGAAAGAAAATACAGTAGTCTTTCGATTATCTGCAGTTCTACATTGTTGTTCTTGTAAATGTTTATTACAAGTCACTTGCTTAAACCTAACAAATATGTGCTCCGGTTAATCCAAAATCCACGTGATCACTTCTACAGAACAGGAGTTGCATATCTTGACTACAGTAGGCGGAGTTTGATTGCCCACTAAGTGACTGCTATCATCCACTTAGTGGGCAGGGTCTTCTACACAGGAGCAAGAAAGTGTTATCACTGAGCACGTACATCGATCGGTCGATCGTTAGTGTTCGTTCTTAATGTATACCTATGTATGTGGTTTTTGGCATAGAGATCCACGGAAAATGGATATTTTTTGATTATCCGCAATTTTGAATTATCCGTGGCCGTCCTCCCCGTCATTAGCACGGATAATCGAAAGTCTACTGTAGTTACTTGTTTGCTGCGCCTAGAGGTGTCTCCCAACAATTATTACATTTTTACCTTGTTAGCCGAAAAACAAAGGTAATTTTCGTGATGTAATGTTCCACACACTGGACCTGCAATGAAGAGGTCACCGGTTCGATTAAATCTCCTTCGGCTCAGTGGAAAGTCTCTTCAACTTCAACTCAGAAACGAGGGCAATCAATGCATTCATTATGAAAACATGACCGATTCCGGACTTTTGGCAAGTGGTCATCGATTACCGTTTAACCGCCCCTACAATGAAGGGGGCAGTGGTGAAAATGATAGCGTTCATGATGTTGCTGATATTGGCGATTGTGTCAATGTTGATGGCGCTGCTTGCTGTGTGCACAGGAGGCCGAGTCCCAGGCGGCCACTTTGTGGATTTGCTTCAGAGCTCCAGCTCGGCACGGCAGTCGGACTGGTGAGTTTGTCCGTGTCACCGCCACCTTTGGCCGATGCGACCGCACACACCGACACGTGCACACCACATGAATCAACATGCATCCAGGAACCTTGTAATAGACACACACTTTTTGATACTCATTGGCTGGAGTGAACTTTGTAATTAAGTGAGAGCACTGTGAGATGGAAATATCCCAGCACAGGAAAAAAAGGAATGAAAACAGTCATAAAAATCAACAAGAAAATAAAACACTCGCAACAAAAAGTAAATGGAAAATGTCATGTGCAAATCAATCACGAAACACCTTGCATCCGGCATTAATCCAGCATTAATTGCAATCGTGGCTTGCACAAGTAGAGTAACTAAATGGCTCGGTGTGCGCATGTGTGTGTGAGCATGCGAAAGTGTGCTTGTGTGTGTGCTTATGTGTGTGAGTACGTGCTTGTGTGTCCTTGTGTGCCTTTGTGAATGCTGGAGTCTTATTAGTGTATGTGCATGTTAGTACGTGTGTGTGAGTGTGTCATCTCTAAGATCCCCCTACCATGTTTCCACTCCGGTAGTGGGTGTCTACCTTGGACCCCATTCAAATCCCACAGTAGCATGGTCTCAGCTAGCTGATGAAAGGTGCAAGCAGGAATTTCAACAATGCTTGCAGCTGAAGTTGGCATCATCCCCCACTCCTGATGCCCAGGGGAAATGGGTGAGATTCAGTACTGTGGCTCATGCAGCTGCATGGCTGAAAGAGGAGGAGTTCCAGCTGGCTGAGAGAAAATGGCAGGCCCACTCTCATTGTCTACAATATCCCATGTCGGAGAATGAGGAGGCTTACTGCAGCTCAGAAGTTTGTAGTGCCGTACAGCGCTGAGTGGTGGGCGTGGTTTGTTAAGGAGATGAAATCTGCCTCAAATAACTCTAATTCCATCAATAAAGTAACTTTCAGTGCCTCACCTATCACCATCCTTTAGGGAAAGAATGGTGATCTGACCTCCTACACCCAGGAACAGGTCTGCAGGTTTGTATCATGGGGCAATTTGGCGACGCCCCTACTGGGGCTGCTGTGCCTCATATTGGCAGAAGTAGCCACCCTTTGTGAGTGGCTGGCTGAGGTTCCCTCTGTTAAGGAAGTACGAAAAAAGCGCTGGGCAGAGATGATATCTCAAGTGAACTGCTGATGGAGGGTGGCGTCTGTGGGTAGACTGCCCTACATAACATCATCACAACTGTCTGGACCACAGGATGGGTTCCACAGGACTCATTCTCATCAGTGAGTTACTCCAGCAGGCAAGGCTGCATTGGCTCGGTCATGTAGCCCGCATGCCCAGCCACCGCATGCCCAAGCGGCTTCTGTTTGGCCGGATAGAGTGGGCTAATTGGGCATGGCACGGGTTGGAGAAAAGATGGAATGATGCAATCCAGGAGGATGTGGAGCTGATTGGACTTGCCAATGACTGGTACCAGCATTGTCACGATTGACATCTATGGCGGAGGTTCGTAAAGGATGGTACGGGGCAAGTTGGAGGCAGTCACCCTCCAACAACAACAACAGAGGGAAGAGGAGTGACACTCACAAATACGATTGGAGCGCCAGGTGGTTAAAACGCACAGTAGGAGGCACACGTGGTGCATCTGCCAGTCATCTCTGTAAATCACGCCATAGCACCTGGGTCTGTCCCATGACCTCCTGTCGGCAAATCTTCGACACTTCACGTGGCCTCGGAGTGCACCTAGCCTGCCACAAGCACCGTGGGAACGTCACCCCGAGCTTTTGTTATTGTTTGTATGTTTGTTGTGCTCGAGTGTGCATCTATGTGTGTGTAAGTTTATGTGCCTGGGAACACATTATTGAGTGTGCATTTATGTTTGTTAGTGCATGTTTATGACTTTGTGTGTGCTTGTGAGATTGTGCACGCAATGCACGTCAGCGCATGTGTGGTCTCCCTGCCCTCGCTGTCTCGTCCCGTAGACGCCGTGGGTCCAGTGGAGCACTTCTCGGCACGCGTGGACGTGGAGCTGGACAGCCCCGGGCCGAGCACCGTCGTGAGCAGCCTGCCCCTCCGCGCCCGCGTCGGCGTCGCTCGTGTCCATGCCCCCAAGCACTTGCAGGTGGCGATCCTCACCCAACCCAGCACCGGCCATTTCCAGAGAATGGCGCCGTTTATTGGGTTTAAATTTCACACCCTTTCACAGGAATCGTAGTTAATGAAGTCTGCTTCTGTCGAGAGAATATTGCAGTCTGCTCCCATGACACTTTTGGAGTCTTAAGAATCACCAGCACTGATGTTGGCAAAACGTAGCTTAGCTTTAACAGCCATGGGCCACGTGGTGTCTCCCACTCCAGACGCTGGAGTTCTTAGCCCGCCCTGGCACGTCCACCGTTCGGAAGCTTCCGCTGCAAAACGTTGGGAACATCAACGTGGAGCTCAGCATGAAGGTGAGGCACGGCGTGATGGTGGTGCTAGTGTGACGCCCGTTCACGCCAGACAAGCACGCCATAACCCCTTGCACTGCTCTTCCCCAACAATACAACACCGCTCACTCCACTGTAGTTGGCAAGATTTTCACCGTATTTTTTACTTATATTACATGCCAGTGTAGTGAAATAAATGTTTTCTTTTGTATCTCTCACAGTCAGTGCAATACTCGCTTGAGACTTGGGCCTGTGTTGTCTGAAACCTCTGAACCTGTGCGTGCGGTTCAGGTTGTGTTTCCCGGTGTGGCGTTCTCCGTTCAGCCGAGCACACTGCACCTTTCTGCTGGTCAGGAGTCGGATCTATCTGTCTCCTTCGCTCTGTCCGATGACAATATCTGCCCTGCCCATGGGTAACAAGGATGCTACACCACACATCACACTTTGCGGGTGCTATGTTTATGTGTGTAAAAGGTGTAAGGACCCACAAGGGGATCATGGGAATGTGGGATATTCACCACTGGCGCAGGGCAGTTAATAGAGAGCACAATCAGAATATTGATTTATCCTGGAGGAATCCTATGAACTATGAAGCTCTTTTTCACAGATGTCCAGTAGGGGCATATCAGTAAGTTACAGTGGAGTGAAAATGGCAGCTTTCATGCGACCTACTTTGTTAAGTGCGATATCACGACTAATGCTATCAACGTGGTGACTGAACATCGATCATCGATCTCCCGGTCTCCAGAGCAACAACACAAGCCAAGCCAATGGCCCTGTTCAGAGCCAAACTGCACCAGATAGGCCATGGGACAAATAATCTTTAACTGAACATTGAGAGACCCTGCCGGGCAAAGTGCAAATATCTCGCAATCGTAATGAAAACCCATAACATTGATGTTCTGTCGCTCCAAGAAACCCACGTCTTGGATGCCCCACATGCCAGTGGCCGCTAACACATCCATGGATACAACCTCCCGACGAGCAACTGTACTACCCAAAATATGGCTTGGCCATATACTGTACGTGAAGAACACCATCACAGAGTTATATGCCTACCCACCAACTGAAGAAGAAGCCACCTACTTCACCAGCATCAAGATAGGAGAGCTGTACATAACCAATGTGTACAAAGCCCCTAATTCAATATGGCCAAAGCCAATGCTCCCTAGTGCATCAATCCCAGCCCGATACATTGTTGACTTTAACAGCCACCATACTATGTGAGGTTATGGAGTAAATCAGGCCGACGGAAAAGACCTCACCGACTTGATGTCCACCAAAGATCTGCACCTGGTTTTCGATCCCAAGCAGCAAGCAACTCCCCTTACTGTAGCCGCCAAGGAGACTATCTCCTGAAGAATATACTCCCTGCTGGACGAAAGAGACCCAGAACCTGCTCCGGCAGTACAACCACTCGAGCAGCTCAAAGTTGCAAAGGCCTTGCTAGAGTCTTTAGGCTCAGCCAGACATCAGTAATGGATTGAGTGCGTGGAAGGCCTGTGCTTCACACACTCCAGCCGTTGTGCCTAGACCCTACTACGATATCTGGGTGCTGCTAATACAACAGAATACTGGACCGCAAGGGTTCTGCTCAACTCTATAGACTCCAAACTTGTGGAGAACACAAAAAGATCGCCCAACAAAAACATCAAGCGGGAGGTCCATTACTCATTACATTAGAAATTTTGCTCAATTTATTGACAACGTCCCACCGCCATCAGCACAGAGGAAGTGAGAAAGGGTCTGGCTGCAATGAAGAAAAGCAAGGCTGCCGGCAGAGATCGTATTCCCCCCCCCCCCCCCAGAATTCCTCCATCACTTAGGCCCTCAGGGACTCCAATGGCTTGCAAAACTGTACACCAAACCCGTTAAATCCAGATGCATCCCAAAAGTATGGCGAGAAGCGATGGTCATTGCAATGCCCAAACCGGGAAAATCAACTGACAACCCGGGAAGCTATAGGCTCACATCACTCCTGTATACGACCTATTCACTCCTAAAACGCACCATCCTCTGGAGAATCAGCCCCCTTGTTGAGTCCGTGATGCCTAGAGAACAAGCGGGATTCTAGCCTGGAGGCAGCTGCTGTGTCCATTCTGAACCAAGACCTAAACACCATTGTTGAGTATTTACGAAATGGAGGCTCAAACCAACTCCCCTCAAACCAATAGTCCCGGCATTTCATCTTGATAATAGGAGCGGCAAGCACACTCTGAAAATTAACTTCTGCGGCAATACTGAGCAACATGACCCCACTCCAACCTATCTCAGAGTGAAGTTGGACCTACGCTAACATTCTACCATGGTCAAGACCTCAACAAGGGTCAACCTGGTCCAGAAACTGGCAAGCTCAAGCTAGGGAGTATCAGCACCAGTGCTACGGACATCAACGATTGGCCTTTAGCTGAGTACTGTGCACCAGTATAGACTACAAATTCAGTCATCACACTCGACTTGTTCATGTTTAAATGGACACTGCAATGTGGTGTATCACTAGAATCCTCAAGTCGACCCCAAAACCCTGGCTGCCGATGCTGTCACCATATGTCTTCCCCACCCATCCGGTGCACTGGGGCAACCTTCTGGGAAGTACTGCGAATCGAGGAAAACAGTTGCCTACCCATTCATCAGGACCTCAGTAATGTCCCTCGCCATTGCTTGAAGTCACACAAGCCCTTTTGGACCCATGCGCTTAACCTTCAATGCGAGTTCAACCCCCATGAAGCTTGGAGAGCTGAATGGAATTCAAAAGAACGACCCAACGCAGAAGATCCCGAGTTTTAATCTTCTACGAAGCTCATGGTTCGCCCTAAACCGCATCCACTGCACAAACCATGGGAGATACTGATCCACAAATGGAAATTTTATATAATGACGCAATGCCCAATCCACAAATACAAAGGAGACATCACAGCGATCCACTCTGCTGCTCCTGACGCGATTGTCTGGCTTGACCACCTGAATGTTAAATTATAGTTGTTGCTTTGCATCTACATCAGCCATATTTAAGAGGAAGCAAGTTACAACAACAAGCAATACAAAAAACGATAGGAGTGCAAAGTAGAGAAATTCCTGTCGATTTTTCAACACTAAATACAAGCTTGGGCAAGGCAGCAAAATAACAACAAAAGTGCCACATTAAAATGTAACTATCGATACACGATTCAGGATCAAAGTTACAAATCAAATTTGCAAATGTGGTTTTACCTAGCAATAATCTTCTATTTCAGGATATATTTTTTAAAGCAAGATTTACGATGTACAGGAAGAAAATAAGGTTGTTCCACAACATTGGTGGTGCAACGACAAAGGCTTTATCACCTATTCTTGTTCTTGGGATAGTTAAAAGGCAAATAGGGGGGAGACCCTTTAGCCTTACAGAACACGCTATTGATGTTGCCGTAACTTGATGTTTTCCCCAGCCTGTTGCAGATCCTGGTGCTGCCGATGGGCCCCCAGTACGAGGTGTGCCTGAAAGGGGAGGTGCAGCACCCATCGCCCCTCCTCAACATTCCCCCGCTCCTCTCCAACAAGCAGTTCCTCAGCTGGGGTGGCGTTTCCCTGGGGCGCGCCACGTGGGTTTCCACAGTCATCGCGCGCACTCGCATATTCGTGCACGTGCACTCTCGTACTCAATCTCACATGTAGTCTGCAAAGACAGATCCTCCGTATAGCGGTAACAGACATTTGGGGCAAGTGCTGGCACCACGGTGGTAAGATGTTAACGACCTCGGCAGGTCGCGGGCTCAATCCCGACCCTGATACCTGTATATTTGGAGTTTGCATATCTCTCTCCCCGTGGCTGCATGGATTTTTTTCCGGATCTTCAGTTTTTTGGCTCCACATTTAGAAAAATGCATTCAGAGCATTTGGCTGCTATAAAATTTCACGTGATAACCCACGATTATTTGTTTTTGGACTATCATTTGTGGCTAGGTCACTTCTGAAAAAGAGTGTGATATAGCTCAATGGGCCTTACCTGATTACATAAAAAGTGTATTTTAGTTTAGCTGTTAGCAGGCATCTATGAAGACCGGCACAGCACACAAGGGGGTGGGTTGTCAGCACCACGCCCAACCGCCTTTGTCTCCCTGGAGGCAGTGTTTACACATCGCACCAGGTACTAAATGAGTCAACCTAGGGGAGGCCCAGTACCAGTTCAGATAATCATCACTGGTGTTGGCCGTGAACAGGAATCGAACTCTGGATGCCAGGTTCGTAGCACAGAGCACTAACCACTGTCCCACTGCTCCCCTCACATATACAAGCATACACACACATGGGTTTATACACCTGTATGTGTGGGTATATTATGTGTAGGGAGCGGTAGTGTAGCGGTTAGCGCGCTGCAATACCAACCCGGCGCCTCGAGTTTGCTTCCCGTTCACGGCCAACACCAGTGACAATTATCTGAACCGGTCCTGGGTTTCCTCTACGTCGACTAAGCCTTAAATGAGTACCTGGTGCGGTGTGTAAACATCGTCACTCGAGAGACAAAGCCGGTCGGGCGTGATGCTGGCCACCCACCCCTCGTGTGCCGTGCTGGCCTTTATAGGTGCTCGCTAACAGCACTTCCCCCAACAGTCTGTTATGGTTATATGGGGGATTTAACACGTAGGCTTTCGCGACCAATATTATTCATAATCAACGTTTTTGGGTTTAGATCGCGTTATTTATAAATGTGTCGTAATGATTGGCCGTGTCGGGTGGTGGAGGGTTACGACACATTTATAAATAACGCGATCTAAACACAAAAACGTTGATTATGAATATATGGGGGATATTAATCTTTGTACATTGTGTACATGTTCATAACGCATTTGCAATTTTGTGCGTACTTGCGTGTTGTTGTGTCTGCAGCCAGCAGAAGCTGACCCTACGGAACAACTCGGAGACAGCCTCACTGCCACTGCGCATGGTCATCCGTGGGCAGGATCACGACTGCTTCCAGGTGCGTGCGTACCTACGTACGGCTACTGTGAGATTCAGAGCCCACGTGTGCTAATTCCGCGCTTTGGATTATTAATTATACTGAACAGTGGGGGCAGGGTTGTTGGATGGAAATGTTTAGGTGATCAGAATATTTATACTGGAGGAATCCAATGAGCTATCACGCTCTTTTTCACAGATGTCCAGTAAGGGTGGGTAAGAACATTACAACAAAAAACAATACAAAAAACATGATAGGGCAACATACAAGAAAGGCAAACATAGCTACTCGAGAGATAGAATGCTTCATCGTTTAAAAGTGATTCTAATGATTTGTTGCACCTGATATGGTCATGGAACCATCATTTATTCTACATGTACCACAATTACAGAAATATCTACATTTTTAATCAGGTAATAACTCATATTACCTGGTTGCTAATCGCACCTCCGATTAGTACGGTTGGCTGCGTACGGTGTGAAAGAATTTCGACATACATAAATAAATATCAGGGGGAGCAAGCTAATATGTCCCTAATCTCTACAGTCTGTGTCTGCGTGTGTGAATTGTGAGGAGTGGTGGTCCATTGGTTTGTGTGCTCTATGGCAATAAAAGTGACCCAGGTTGAATTCCCGGCCATGATGCACAACATCAAGCCTGAGCCTTCGTTACGTGACTCGGTGTGAAAAGAGCATCCGTCTCCTGTTGAATACATTTTTGAAATCATGGGACCTCCTTTGCCAGTACCAAAATATGATAATAGCTTTTTTCCCCTTTTATCTGGCAACAAAACAGGTGTTAAGATGTTCAAACACCAAATTGAAACCTTTTACGAGGAATCGTTTCTGCATTAACCACAATGCTTGTGGTCAGAATGCAAACAAAAAACATACTCTGATAATATATGCATTGTCCTTGAAACTGATTGGTCCACACCAGAGACAGCTTTCTTTTGAGCCTCGTCTCAAACGGTGGCCACTGGTGTGATTGCACGGTCAACATGGGCTACCCCAGTTGCCGCTGACATCATCGTCCATTATTTAATCAAGGCTCAACTCGTCTATCGTAACCCGCTTATAGGTCCTCCTCTGATACAAACAATCGAATCATCTAAATTGCCAGACGCTTTAGCCACAACTGGAAATGGAACCACATAACCTCAACACTTGGATCGCTTCACTGGCTCCAAATCCAGTCTCAGATAAATCTGAAGACTGCACTTTCCGTCACTCTACTCCCCTCAACACACTCCCCACTTTCGTTTAGCACATAGGCTTCGTGACCAATATTATCCATAATAGTTTTTTTGAGTTAGATCGCGCAAATATAAATGTGTCATTAAACATGCCACCACCCGACACAACCAACTAGTAAGGGTTGTTACGTAAACAGAACATGCCAATTAGTTACTCGTTCAGCACGCCGGTGTTGGAGAGTAAACCCACAACATTTACAATTCAAGTACAACCAGCCTCATCGGAGGGAGTAAATGTGATGTCGTCACTGTGAGCCAAGCATAGCATTATGTATGTTGAAGACCAGATGGGGGTTAATGACTACATTAACCCCCATCTGGTCTTCGCACCTGAATGGCTCAACATGACGATATCATATTTACCCCCTCTATTTAAGACTTAGACAGGAGGAGGATTTCTCCACAACTCTGGCTGTCGCCTGATGAGGCTAGTTGTAATTACCAGCGAAATGTCATGCTCGAAATGTAATTGTTATAGGTTTACTCTCCAACACACTCCTCCCACTTCAGCAACAAAGGTGTTCTACTGATCTTTGCTTAGTGGGAGGACAATCATCCTTATTTGCTTCTCCTAAAGTCTAAAACTCCTTTTTCCCAGTCATCTATTAGCACTGAGGAAGCAAAGGGAGCTGAGAACGCATAGTAAGCGGTACTGGGCACACCACCATGCTAGAGAGGCTCTTCTGACCTTAAGCTGTGCACTAATGCCACTTGCCTCCAGCGTGAGTGTCGGCGTGGGTGTCGTGTAGCGTAGTATATCAACAAGGCTCAAAGATTGCAACTTATTACTCTACAGGACATCTGGCAAAAACATTACCAAGCTGTAGCATGTACAACATTTTTTGGCACGTGTCGTGATGGATACTGCAAGATCCTACCGTGTCTGTCCATTGATCGCTGATCTGCATTGGCTTCTGGTTGCCCAACAAACACATTATAAGGTCGCACTCATTACAAAAAAAATGCTTGCCATAATTTAACCACAATACCTTGCTGATCTCGTCAAGGAGCATTCACCATCACGCAAACTCCAATCATCCTCGCAGAGGCTTTTGCCGAGCCATCGAACAAAGATGGTCGCCACATCGCATTCTTTCAAATGTGCTTCTGCGACGGTTTGGAGCGCTCTTCTGATATGAGGAAGCCGCTGGAGCTATGAACTTTGAATCTAGATTTAAACCTCATTTCTTTAGAACTGCTTTTTGTGTTGAATTGTCATACCCCCGCACCTCCGATTAGCACGCTTGGCTACTTATGGTACAAAAGAAGTTCAATATACATACATACACTTATGGTGCATGTGCAGCTGCAGAGCACGTTTGGCCGGGAGGAGAGGCTGAGCAGTGCGCGCGAGCTGGTGCTGGGCCCGCGCCAGGACGTGCCGGTGCGCCTTCTGTTTGTCCCGACGCGCCGCACCTGCATGCTCGCCAAGCTGGAGATCAAGCAGAGCGGCACACGCTCGACTGTGCCCGGCGTCAAGTTCACGGTGAGCGTGGCACACACCCCCTCTCCCACCACCGCTCTGCAGCCACGACTGATTCTGCGAGGGTGAAGAATAATTATTTCATGAATTGATTCTCCAGCCGAAATCATGACGGTTCGTAGAATTGTTGATGCAAGAGGTGGAATCGTTGTGTGAGGAAATTAAATTACCGTTGTCATGGAGTCTCTGTGGCAGTGCCCACAATAATGTCAATTGGCCCCCACAGCAGTCTTAACAGTAGCCTATGTCGAGTTTCGAATTTCAAACTTTACAGCAGTCAACCTTGGTGAGGCTCAAAACCAGTTTCACTTATTCTTAGGTTTTTTTCGGTAAAGTCACATAGGTAAAAAATTTAAATTAATAAAAGTAAAATAAAAAATTCACGACGTTTCGGAAGCAACACAAGCCTCCGTCTTAAGGTGGAACCGTCACAGCCACGACAGCTGTATCAAGTAAATGAGAGATCACAAGAAATACCACCCCGTATATATAATGGTTGAGGGGGGAAGGGCCAGGAACGGCACACGTTTTATTAATATGGTAAGGTGAGGCTTAAGACTAAGAATAGACTGCATAACAAAGGACTGAGCCTTTGTTATGGAGAGGTGCGGTTTGTAACTAACACCTAGCATACATAACAAAAGTGTGAAAAAAGAAAGCAAGTAAAAAACTAAAACTGGTAAAACAACAAACTGGCTGTCTATCAATAACCTGTAATAGTTGTCTGTCAAATAGGATGGTCCAAATAAGTGTAGTTACATCTTTTTTGCATGGTTAATCACATCTTTCCAACTACACTTATTTGGACCATCTTATTTGACAGACAACTATTACAGGTTATTGATAGACAGCCAGTTTGTTGTTTTACCAGTTTTAGTTTTTTACTTGCTTTCTTTTTTCACACTTTTGTTATGTATGCTAGGTGTTAGTTACAAACCGCACCTCTCCATAACAAAGGCTCAGTCCTTTGTTATGCAGTCTATTCTTAGTCTTAAGCCTCACCTTACCATATTAATAAAAAGTCTGCCGTTCCTGGCCCTTCCCCCCTCAACCATTATATATACGGGGTGGTATTTCTTGTGATCTCTCATTTACTTGATACAGCTGTCGTGGCTGTGACGGTTCCACCTGAAGACGGAGGCTTGTGTTGCTTCCGAAACGTCGTGAATTTTTTGTTTTATTTTACTTTTATTAATTAAACATTTTTACCTACGTGTCTTTATCGAAAAAAACCTAAGAATATGAATCCTTGCCGTCACGAAAGCTTCAAATCTAGAACCAGTTTCACTATTTACCTCTTACTTTTTTCGGTGGCTGGGATTCAAGCTCTGCTGGCTGGGTTAATAGCGCAGTGCACTAACCACTTAGCCCCCTCTCCACCACTGCATGATTTCTGTCTTTGATGCACAGGTACACATGTTCGGATACCAAATACGCACCTAGACACCAATGTGCCACTCCTCCCACAACAAATTTACTCCCACAACAAAGCTCTCCTGTACGCATCTCTATGCCGCACACGCACACTGTCACAGATCCCTCTGTCAGGCTACGGCGGCTGCAGCCACGTGTTGCTGGAGGGTGCCCGGAGGATGTCCGACAGCTACGCGGCGGTGCTGAGAGACGTTGCGGATGGGCGTGTGAGCAGCACGCGCGTGCGCCTGCGCAACGCGGGGACACGCGCCGCCTTCGTGCGCGCCGTCTGCTTTGGTGACATGCAGGCGCGCGAGGTCGCCGACGGCTCTGTGTTCACCATCTCCCCGGGGCACTTCGTCCTCAAGGAGAGAGCTGAGCAGGTTTGACTTCCGTCCGAGAACCCCTTGGCGCCGCCACTATCTTGACGAATGCATTGAGCTGCATTCGTCAAGATATTGCGCTTTCTAAATGTATCACTACAGAAGGATACCGCCTCTAAATGGGACCGACCCCCCAAATAGTGACCAACGTAGAAGTAAGAATAAAGGTTGCGCATAGAAGACAACCTGATGATGCAGGCAGTGATGAGAAGGAAATTGACACTATTTGGGCGCATATGTAGAATGGACAAGAACAGGAAATTCTAAATGTGTTAGTAAAAATTGAAGAAACCGGAAAGACAACATGAGAGATTAGTGCCAGAAAGATGTGCGCTATTATAAAGCATATTGGCACAAGACAGAGAAAATTAGGAAATGGGCAGTGGACACCTACGGGCTATCTGCCCATGGATTGTAATGATGACTATTCATTGAGCAATAAGGGTGGAGCAGTGGTAACGCTTATGCCTCGCCTAGAGAAAATGATCTTGGTTCTGCAAGCAGTGTGTTCTCCCCCTGTTCTGTATGGATTTCCTCTGCATTCTCAAGTATCCTCTCATTGCTGCAAACATACAATGTCAGTGGTATTAGCCAAACATGCCAAGGCAGCAGGACCTCCTAAGAGAGTCTGCACACTCAGTTCAGTTCTCCATTCCAATGCCAAATTTACCAATTATCTTCTCATCTCCGCAGCTTTTATAATAATTATTTCAACTTGTTGGGACAGATAAAGTCCACATTTTGGTGTACCGCCTCTCCACACATTGGATGTGGCGAGAGCTTTGAAATTCTTTCTCCAGAGGAGGGAATGAGTAACAACTTTGCGTGGTGTTGTTGTTGTTGTTGTTTTTTCTACCATCAGTGTAAGTGCCATTGTTGCTCACGGCCTTGCCCAGCAAGCACTTAACCTGACAGCACTGCCGTACAAACTACCGTTGTGATGAACGTTGCCCGGTGACAAAGCGAGATGCCCAGACAGCCTAGAACAAGATATTTTTTTTCCGTCCATTTGGTTTTATCTATTTTAGTATTTGACAGTCCCACTTAAACATAAGAATTCTACGTTTCAGCATTGTACAGGTAAATTAGAGATTATACTTAAAATTCCAATTCAGTTAACATTAATTTAAATACGTGCACTGCTTGAATATGAATGTTTATTATGCAAATACATGTTTTGCATTCGTGACAATGTGAGTTATAGCCAGCGGCCCTTGCTTCACCGTGGAGAGAGTGGAGGTAATTTGATTGACTTGTAATTGGAGACCGCACTTCACAATGTGGTCCCTGGGAAACATTGAGACATTTCAATACAGTTGACATGATTTGTTTTCCATCGGAAAATGTTGAGTGGGATGTGTGCGTAATGGGAGAACATGGACGATGATCTGTGCGCGGCGGTGCAGGAGGTGGAGTTGACATGCCGGGCGACTGCACGGGAATCCGCGCTGTGCAACACGAGCACCGCCCTCCTCGCCGTCGTCTGCTTCTTCTGCGGCGACGAGATCACACGGCAGCTCTTCCGCAGGTGACCCCTAATCTCCTGCAACTGCTAATCCCACTCTAGCAGACCTCTGGTCCATCTTACCTATAAAAGGCATTTTTTGTCTGTTTGTCCGTCTGTGTGGACGAAACTTGTGAAGGATTTAGCTCACAAACCGTGGGGTTGACGTTTAGAAAAAGTAACCAGGCACCACGCCATGTGGTGAGCCAGCGTTATTCCATTTTCCCATCCGTCAACTTTAAAGTAGTTAAATTAGCACTTTAGTGCTATTTATTTTCTTACGCCGCTCGGCGACCGCTAAAACTGCCCGGGGGTTGCCACTAGCAATGCACACGCGTCATCGGTGGGGTTGGCGGGGGGAAGAATTCTCCTTCGCGTTAAAAATGCAAAAAAAATACACAAAGCTGAGGTTAATTCTTCAAAGTGTCATGTCCTCTTCTCCGTCCCTCATCCCAATGTGTGCACTTAGTATTATAGGATCAGTAGATACTAATATTATAGCGCTTGTATACTATTATTGTAGAGCGGGCAGGGGGATGGTGGGTGGGGCGGGGGTAGCGGCCCAGCCTGCCAAGGTGCCACCTCGGGCGGCTGGGCAATCTAGGCGAGGCCGGGGGCTAGGCCTAATGACGGCACTCTGTCAGGTTAGTAGTTTGGTACCGCCACAGTCAGAATGCTCTGCTGTAGTGAAAGCAGGTACCACCACAGTATGCACTGTTGTAATCATAGCAGGTATCACCACAGTCGGTATGCACTGCTGTAATCATAGCAGGTACCTACCACAATCAGTTTGTACTGCTGTAATCATAGCAGGTACCACCATCATAGCAGGTAACACCACAGTCATTATGCACTGCTGTAATTATAGCAGATACCACAGTCAGTATGCACTGCTGTAATCATAGCAGGTATCACCACAGTCAGTATGCACTGCTGTAATCATAGCAGTTACCACCATCATAGCAGGTACCACCACAATCCGTATGCACTCTGTAGTCATAGCAGGATACCACCACAGTCAGTTTGCACTACTGTAATCATAGCAGGTACCACCACAGTCCGTATGCACTGCTGTAATCATAGCAGGTACCACCACAGTCCGTATGCACTGCTGTAATCATAGCAGGTACCACCACAGTCAGTTTGCACTGCTGTAATCATAGCAGGTACCACCACAGTCCGTATGCACTGCTGTAATCATAGCAGGTACCACCACAGTCCGTATGCACTGCTGTAATCATAGCAGGTACCCACCACAGTCAGTTTGCACTGCTGTAATCATAGCAGGTACCACCACAGTCCGTATGCACTGCTGTAATCATAGCAGGTACCACCACAGTCCGTATGCACTGCTGTAATCATAGTAGGTACCACCACAGTCCGTATGCACTGCTGTAGTCATAGCAGGTACCACCACAGTCAGTTTGCACTGTTGTAATCATAGCAGGTACCACCACAGTCCGTATGCACTGCTGTAGTCATAGCAGGTACCCACCACAGTCAGTTTGCACTGCTGTAATCATAGCAGGCACATCCACAGTCGGTATGCACTGCCATAGTGATAGCAAGTACCACCACAGTCGGTATGCACTGCTGCAGCGATGGCAGGTTTCACCACAGTCAGTATGCACTGCTGCAGTGAAAGCAGGTTCCACCATAGTCGGTATGCACTGCTGCAGTGATAGCAGGTACCACCACAGTCAGTATGCACTGCTGTAGTGATAGTAGATACTGCTATCGAGTTGGTAGATACTGCTATATAGAGTTAGCAGATACTAAAACAGTCAGTATATACCACTATGGTCAGTAAATACTGCTACAGTCAGTAGATACTACTATACAGTCAGTCAATACTACTACGGTCAGTAGCTACTGCTATAGAATCATCAGATACTACTGTAGAGGAGTAGTGGGATGACGTGATGTCACGGGGGCTGTAAGGGGGTACCTTCGGGAACATGGGCGGGTCTGAGCTAAGGGGAGGAGCCGCCAAGGGGTACTTAAGGGGGACCCCGTGACGACAGTGAGGTCGCCGTGGGGAGAGTGAGGTGGTCGCCGTCAGGGAATGAGGGAGAGAGGAACGAGAACCTGCGTGGAAGACATCCCAGCCACCGCCGAAGAAGGGCTAGAGATGTAGAAGTCTCACCTCGTCGCCGGGCGGTGATGGGTGAGCCCCCGCCCGGGGCAGATGAGGGGGTAGACATAAGGGAAACCGTACCAGGGCGTAGATAGCTGAGGGATATCCGCGTAAAGGACAGAATTCTGACGTGCGCCATAACGGGTGTAAGCGTCGAGTGTAGAGAGTGTAAAAGAGTGTGTAACAGATGTGAATAAACGGCGTAAGCATCTCCGTCTGGCTCTACAAGTCTCCTGGGTGTCGAGAAGTACTACACAACACTACTATAGAGTTAGTAGTTAACTACTATATAGTCGGTAGATACTACTGTAGGGCCAGTAGATACTACTACGATCAGTAGTTGCTACAGTCAGTAAATACTACTATACAGTCAGTAGCTACTACTCGGTTTAACACGTAGGCTTTCGCGACCAATATTATTCATAATCAACGTTTTTGGGTTTAGATCGCGTTATTTATAAATGTGTCGTAACCCTCCACCACCCGACACGGCCAATCAGTAAAAAAGTGTCACGTTGACAAAAGACAAATTAGTTCACTGCTTTAGCCCACCGGTGTGTTGAAGCGCGAAACCACAACATTTACAATTTGAGTACGATGTTTCGCTGGTAATTGCAACCAGCATCATCGGGCAATTCGCCAGAATGCTGGTTGCAATTACCAGCGAAACGTCGTACTCAAATTGTAAATGTTGTGGTTTCGCGCTTCAACACACCGGTGGGCTAAAGCAGTGAACTAATTTGTCTTTTGTCAACGTGACACTTTTTTACTGATTGGCCGTGTCGGGTGGTGGAGGGTTACGACACATTTATAAATAACGCGATCTAAACCCAAAAAGTTGATTATGAAGCTACTAATCGCTCAGTAGATACTACTGTACAGTCAGTTGATACAACTACGGAGTCAATAAATAGTACTTACTCTGTTGTATGTAGGGTGTGTACGTTTATATACCTACGCGGGGGTAAAAATATTTTTTAAGGGGGTGGTCAACCATTTTCGGAAACCTTTTATATCAACTATTTACCCCCCACTTTCTATAACTTTTTGGACTTCTGCAAGCCTCTTATAATTTTGTTAGTGGAGGAATGGACAAATGGCCCACTGGGCTTTGACAATAGCTTAGTATCTGTGTATGTATATGTGTAATAAAGGACTCTTTCACTGGGTCTGTCTCCGTTGTCCTTTATTGTGGTTCGTACAACTTTGCCTGCACGGCGTCTCGCTCAGTCTCCTCCGTCTCCCGCTCGGCAGCCCCACTGCTGCCGTCGCTCTTGCAGACTCGCTGCTGGCTCACTATGCAGCCCCGCTGCTGGCTCTTCCCTCAGCCTCTCTGTCCCCGACCTGCAGCCCCACGGCTGCTCTCTATGCAGCCCCGCTGCTGGCTCTCCGCCTCCTCCGTGCCCGGACACCGCTGGCCAACGGTGCCGAGTCCCGACCTGTGGCGATCACGCCACTTCCCACCTCCTGCCCTGCGTGGCCTCCTCCTGTCTTTATTCCCACACTCTCCTCCAGCCCTTCCGGTTCCTGCCCTTAAAAGCTCTCCTCTCCCCCCACGTGACCCAACTCCTCCCCCCTGTTACGTCATATCCGCGAGGCCGTTTACGCTCGCATTACACCACCCTCCCCCGTATAGAAAATTCCAGCCGTCCTCGGCTGAAACAGAACAAGTAATGCGAGCGACCACCAACCATCAGCCGTGAATGGACAACGGAGAATACAACGAATATAACAATAACAACAAGAACGAGAACAACATTAATCAACGAAAAGAAAGGGACTTCGAACGCGTGCGGGTCGCCGGCCCGTCCCGGACAAGCGGCGGCCCCCCTGCAGACCGAGAACGGGACGGGGTTTTAGGAGCGACAGGATCAAAACCGCCTGTCGCTATTGGAGGCCCGCCAACGCCAAGGTCCCGTTTCTCCGAAGGACCAGAGTCCGGGGCGTCCCGCAACCGTGTTTGTGGTGGGATTGGAGGGGCGGCGGGGCCAGGTGTCCCCGCAGCAGAGTCCTCTGCCTCCTGCAGTGTCACGGCCGGTTTGTCTGTAGAAGGCACGACAGGCGCTCTTGCAGGGTCAACAGGCACAGGCAAGGGTGCGTCGGCAGCACCAGACACTGGCAAGGCAACATCAGGAGATGACGCATCCGTTCGAGGGGCCACGTATGGTTTCAGCGCCGAGATCCGAACCGAACGCGCGCGGACTGCGGGTTAGGAACCTCCATGAGCCTAACAGGCCCCTGCCATGGTTTATGTAACTTAGGGGAGGTCCCTGCTTGCACCTGCGGGCAATGTAGCCAAGCCATGTCCCCCACCTTCCAGGGGCACTTCCCCTTCGAGCGTCGAGCGCAACGTTCGTTTCGGGCCTGGGTTTTGGCAGTAGCCATTCGGGCCCCCTCCCGCGCCTCAGCGACGCGGCGAACGGCGTCCTGAATGTTATCAGGGAGAGGCTTAGTAGGTCCCCTCACTCCTGTTCCCAACTGCACATCCATTGGCGGCACGTTTTCGCGACCGTACATAGGAAAAAACGGAGAATATCCTGTGGACGCGTGAGGCGTCATCCGGTATGTCGAGAGTACCCCAGGGATGTGCAAATCCCAGTCAGCTTGCTTTTCATTAACCGTGTGACACAGCATGGCGGACAGAGTCCGATTTAGTCGTTCCACCATGCCATCCGTCTGCGGGTGGTAGGGAGATGTCCGGATCTTTTTAGTCCCCAGAGCCGCGCACACCTCCCCCAACAATTTAGAAAAAAAATTCCGGCCCTGATCCGTGAGCAGCCTCTCTGGCGCCCCCTTGTCCATGACATATCCAAATAGAAAGGCATCCGTAATGGACGCCACCGACTGGTCGGGCAAGGGCCAGGCCATCGGCCAGCGGGAGAGATAC